CGCTGGTGTCTGAGCAAAGTGATCTTTTCATCGAAAACGTCATAGTCCCCATGATAAGACCAATATGGTTAGCACTAAACATCGCAAGTGCATACTAAGGACTTTATAGCTTCTTCTCGTATATATGTTGTAAATGTGCTTCCGTTGATGTATTATCCATAACTGTATTTCATACCATTTTGCAGTTTCCCACGATGTTCCCCTCTTCCTGAGATAGCTTTCAATCACATGCCGGCATAGCACTTTGATTGGACACTAGTAACTAGTGTGATGTGCCTAGTCCTTTCTTTGGTGCAGACCAAATTCTATCAGTCACCTACCAAAATATGCGCTCCTTCCTGGTTGACCAAAACTATCAGAGGAAAACGGAACGAAGTTTGGGGTGGCGTTCAGCCTTGACGGTGACCTTAGTGAAGGGCTTAAAATTTAACATTTATTCGAACCTCTTATGATTGTTTGGAGAATAATCCAACAATTTAAACTTTCAAAAAGTATTGATTTGTGATACTTCATGATAGTTATTTATAACATAACTGATCGCGGCTGCAAAAGTGGCATGTAAACTTATTCGTTTATAAGAAATATAAATTATTGTTAATTTGCATGCATATTATGTCATTCTCTCAGGCACCTTAAAAAGTGACATTATTTTGTGCTGTTGAATGTTGTTAAAACTTTGTTGTCCAGCTACTTACATACTTGGTTTATGACGCAAGTCAGCATCGAAATAATGCATTTTCATGCTTAATCGTTGGGCCGTATAGGTTAGTGAGCGTCTCAAACGTCGTCTACCAAGTATCGTATTCCACTAATAGACTTACATCTCATCAGCTGGTGATGGGTTTAGTGGTACATCCATACACGTTTGCAAGCTATTCCAAAGAAACGTAAAAGTATGATAAAAACATGGATGAAAGCAAGATGTATGCTGATAGGAGGGAGTATGCAGTCCTTTGAGCCATGTAGGCTGAGGGCTCAATTTATAATTTCGTCTTGATGTTTTTGGGGGTGTTCTCATCCGGTAAACTATCATTTCTTAAGGTGTCAGCCAGAGAAGAAACACGTTATTTATGCACGTTTATGGATCGTTAACCTCGTGCAGACATGGCTATCAGCTTTTCCACAGAAATTACACGTTCTGGTGGGACATAAAATATAATAAAATGTGGGAATGAAGCCAAATTATCTGAAAACTATAATAATGGGTGACATAAAGAAGAGAATCATACGACATACGTTTGCAACATGTAGTGCTAACAACATTCGCCTTGCCAATAAATTTAGGCTAGCTTTAATGAAAACGTTGTTTCACAAACAGGATGTTCTCATTGTTGAACGACCGGATTCGGAGGGAGCAGGAGATGAAAATGTATGAAGTGGGTGTCGAATTCATAAAATTCTTGGGTAAGTATGGCTTACTATGGCACGTAGAGATATATAATCTGAAATCAGTTTGAAATACATGTATACATATATGGTATTCTCTGCACTGTATCTTACAGGAATTCATACATCTATGGTGAACAGTTATTCCTATGATCTAAGAAACGGAGTGTTTCAGGGTATGGTTAAACAAAATACTCAAAACTTAGCGATCAGATGTTTTACTGAGTTGAGGAAAGTATAGTGACCAAGAGAGAAGTCGTTAGTGGATGCGAGTAGAATGATTCTAATCGAAACAACCAGTCAGGAGATATATTAATTTTTAGGACTTTTTAATCTGGTGTATGACAAATGCTGTAAACTACTTCATCTACCTGTGTGGTGAAAATGACAGCACAAAAGAAAATTCGAAAATTTAAGTTTTAGATAAATTTAAGGAAAACTGGTGGCTATTGATTGAAGGGGTTCCTTTCTATTGGGTACTGTTGGAAAAGTGGAAATGGATGTGGTGGATACAGACCGTCTCTTAGTAGAAAGCTGCATCCCATATAATCAGCCGTCAAATGCACTAAACTTATTAATGTCGGAGGTGAAGTTTGCATAAGGGTAATTTAACCACATAAACTGATGCTCAGTTTACCACCGTTAGTTGCCAGGTCACACCATAGGGTTAAAAATGCTTAAATCAGAATGCATCTGGCTGCCCTGATCAAAGGCTGAACAGCCTTAATTTCCTGTCAGCAATGGAAATAGTTTAAATCAGAGAAAAAGACATGTTAGTGGGTGCTTTCTGAATCCACCATCTTAGAATGTGATTCTCAAGTGCCCTAAGCCAAGGCGATTTGTTTGTGGGTGGTGGCTTGCATAACGTTCTTAAATATAATAGAGACAGGTCCTAAAGTGGGATTGCTGTGGCGATGTTTACCATTAATTTCAGAAGAAAAAATAGGCTGGAAGACACTTTTCTCAACCTCGAGGGTCCTCATTTCAGTCGAATGCATCTGCTAAATTATCCAGATTTTCGGTGGCACTTTGTTTCGCCTTCCGCCAGAAAAGAAACTAAGAATTCTGTCAGCGCAACAACGAAGAACGTATCAACCAATAAATATGGAAAAGGAAGTAGAGGTGGATTAAAAGTATGCCGATTGATTGAAATGTCATCGGAAAGGAAATCAAAACATTTTGGCAGCCGTGGAGCCATCTGGAATTAATTAAAAACATTTGTTTTGTAACTTGTCGCGTTTTCGTGTTCAAATTGTGGTTCTTGCCAACTGACATCTGTGTCAAACAAATACAGATGCACCAAAATATAACAGACGTATGACATAATCTTTAACATATTATTCGCCCACTAGGGAAGGTAAAAACCTGAAATAAAAGCAGGCACATGAGTTCATTTATTTTTGAAAAAAAGATAGAGCTTGTGAAGCCACGCCCTGTGGTGTTCCTTAGCGAAATATTTTTGGAAGTCCCCTTCAAGACAAACTATGTTAGAACCTAGCACTTAACAGGTCTCTTACTTTTGCAATGGCACCCACACTGAAGCCAGAGGGAGATGTGCCCAGTTAATGCCGCAGCACTAGTTTAAAATCCTTTCTAGTCGTTCTTTGGATTCCGGCCAACTATGAAGAAGGACACACCCACCAGAGAATTAAAATACTCTGTTATTTCACATCCATTTTCCCTGCGGAATCACATATTAGGTCGGAAATGAGTGTCTATTGAACATTTAAGCGTGGCAGACGTGGCCACTTTCTTAGTGATTAATAGATTTAGGACAACACAAGACCGTTATTTAAGAAAAATTGGCTCGCACCCATCCAGAGGGGAAGTACTCTGTCCCTATGGAGCTGCATTGTAGGGTTTGGTGCGTGATGTCACTCAGCGGTCCAGCCAGAGTATTACAAATACATTAACACGTTCTGCTAAGTGTTTAACGGTCATTCGTTTCTTGGATGGTTCGCTGACAAAGTTCCTACTACTTATCACTTACAGCGAACCATCTGATCTTCAAAATGGAGAAAAAACCGAAGTCTCCATTTTCTTTCATTCACGTTCACCCGTGGAACATAGGGCTTCACGCTAGTGGCTTGAAGTTTCTGTAGCAGTAGTGTTTATTTTTACAGGATGGGATGCTAGCCTCATGCCCAACCTTTCCTCTTCACCAGCAATATTTCTGGCTTAGCGAGACAAAGGTGTGCGTCAGCCGGGAATCGAACACCGGACCATGTGCATGGTCGGCGAGCATCCTAACCGCTATGCCACCGACGCTGGTGAGTCCGCATTACGCTGTTGAAAATGCTTTCAGTGACGCACCGATTCTCTGATCCATGTAGAAGGGTTGATCTTATATTCCTGTTAAAAATTCCAACCTTTTTCTGTATGCTTGGTTTAGCAGATTTCTACTCTGATTTCAGATCAATGAAGGTCGATCTTGCTTTTCATATTCTGCTTTTCCCGATCTCATCCGTGTGGTCCTTAGTTAAAAAATGTACTACCTAGAGGTGATTTTAAAACTTCTTCTAATGATAGTGATTGTTGTCATTCGTTGGGTTCCCTCATCACCCTTGCATTCCCTCGGCTCGACTACGATCCTTTATCCTCAGCTTCTCCTAACATCGCTGGATTTCGCCTGTGGACATTCAGGTTTGTCTGACATTAGACATATACTCCACTACTCCAATCCAATTTCAATAAACGTTGTCGCTATCAGTCCTAGGCTTTCTTTGTCGTTTGATTGTGTTTCCTTTGTCTCATCCTCTCATAGAGTCTCCTGATGATGCCTTTTATTTATTCTGTCTACTCTTTCTTCACATCTAATTTCTCATCGCTAAGTAGTATTATCTATGAAGAGTTTGCCCGGCTTAACGAAATTCGCAACTAAGAGTGATGTCACTGAAATGGTACAAAGAGTGAAGTCCGTGGAAACCAAACCAGTTTTTCCTACAACAATTGAAGTCGTAGATTGTACTAGAGTCAAACATATATCTAGAATTGTTCCAAAAGCGAGAAGCGAGCGCGAAGAAATCCTGCGGTTTATAGAAGGACGAAGACTAACTGCAGCTACCACCGAATAGCCTTGAAAAAGTGTCCCAGCGAGGGTCTGTAAGACCTTCGAGTCCGGCGAGAAATTTTAGATTTAAATGGTCAAGTTAACCCCTAACCATATATCCTAATTGTTACTTCACTCATAACCGTAACATATAACTAATATAACTCGCCTCAAATAAAACACCTTACCCAGATTTCTAAACTACGATCGAATTCTTACCCTGGTCTGACCTTTTGGCCTAACTACAAACCCTGAGGGTAGATCGATAGAAAGCATGCAAAGGAAAAACTAACTCTGCATTTATAACTACTGACATTATCTACTCGGAGCTGTATGGTAATTCATAGTTTATCGTGAATAACAGAAGCTCATTTAAAAGAAGCTGATGTGGTCTCTAACCTTCAATAACCAGTATATGTTAAAATGATTCGGAAACGTAACGTAACAGTCTTAACACACCGCATACTACAAAAAATATAATTAATCCCAGCACTACTCCTTTTGGTGTCAACCAAAGCTACGACAGTCGAGTGGCGGGACGAGCTATGCAGAAGTCTACCGAAGATCAGGAACCTTTACCTCACAATCAAGAGGCAAGCACAAAGAAGTCAAGTTAGTTTATACTAGCTCGTAAAAACTATATTGGATACCTAGGAAACAGCGCTTGAGCGCGTGAATCAAATTATGGAAAAATGTGATGTAGGAACATACACGATTTCTGGCCCTTTAAGAAATTTATCCATAAGGTATTGTACTTTGACTCATTTTACAAACAGGGTCAAATTGTTCCATCAACAATCAAAGGCTGGAGAACAAGAAGTTGACGAAGAGCATGTTTTTCGCTGGCAAGAAAAGATTTTCAGTCCAGTAAGTTAACGAGTTTTTTTCCTTCACATTCCCAGTGGAACATAGGGCTTCATGCTAGAGGCTTGAACTTTCTGTAGCAGTGTTTATTTTCACAGGATGGGATGCTAGCCTCATGCCCAACCTTTCCTCTTCACCAGCAATATTTCTGGCTTAGCGAGACAAAGGTGTGCGTCAGCCGGGAATCGAACACCGGACCATGTGCATGGCCGGCGAGCATCCTAATCGCCATTCCACTGACGCGCTTAACAAGTAATAGTATTTATTATTGGTGACAAAATAATTGTATAGTTTCGTTACGGTTGATGACATTTCTAAAGTGTGTGGTTGGAGTACAAGTATGCCCAATTGAATTCGATTGGCACTTAAGCTCCAGCTATCATTTTCTTCGGACCCACTATAGAAACTTTGCGGCTGAAAACCCAAGGACACATTGCATAAAATAAGACACATTACCCGGAATCTGAGACCCCATTCTGTAATGGACCGGTGAAAGACCTAATCTGCCCACAACTTTTCACATAATAAACAACATTCTTTCGTGAAGTCAAAGACTTATGATATCAGAAACCAATTAGTTCAAGATTAATTTACAGTGTCTACACGTTACAAGTAGTTCAGTGGTCATTAAAGTCACAAGAAGTCGACAACCTTTTTCCTACGTACTCTATGTTTTCCTTGTTTAGATTCACGATAGTGACAGAGATGGAAACTGTTAATGCGATAACGGAGAGGATCGTCACTTCCTCATTCCTTACTTGAGCCTGCCAAGACTGTTGTGGAGCCGTCGCTGGGTAGACGTCTTGGAGTTTTGATCTGTAGTCTGTTTGTTAGCAATACCTCGCTTGTGGAAACTGTTAATGGTACCTTAAAGCTACAGGGAAAACAAAAACTACTTGTTGATAATGAAAGTGTATGTTTCCTCGCATAACCTCATGATCCAAGGAGTGAGCCCAAATAGATCAACTCGCTGAATACCAGCTCATATATAGGATCTTTTTTATTTGTCAACTTAAGTAAACGGTTAAACTACTCTTCACATGCCTCCATATTTTGAATACCTGAAATGGAACAAATCAGCGAACACTGTCAATATTTATACGAAAGTTCATTAGAAATGTGATATTTCTTGAGTGTTTATAAACTCGCCACGTAAGTCAAGATCCATTTTCAGGTCACTGAGACATTTAATAGCTATGAAACTGGATTAATTAATAGTCTAGTTGTATTAATTCAGTCAGCAGTCTAACTTTATTACACATACATACCCATTTTAAAATTTGACTTACTAATAGGTCAACTAAGAACTTTACTCAGAAGTGCATCGTTTCAGTCACCACATTTTAGAATTATACAGGGAAAAAGGTGAATAAAAACAGAATTGCCCTACTAAAAACAAACATGGATAATACCTATGACCCCATTCTCCAGTTTACCTTCCCTATCAACAAATCTAAGCTTAACCATGTAACTGCTCGCTGTGTTGGTCTATCAAACACTAGTAACTGAATGATAACGGTTAGAATTTGTAAATCAGGGAAAGACAAACAATGAATACACTCTCTCAAAAGATTTATTATTTATTTATATGACTATGATGAAATTTCTGAAACAAGAGATATATTGATGAAAGGAAATTTTCGGTGAAATAAAAGTCGTCTCGAAAGCTCAAAAACTTCAGTTTGCACTTCTGAAGAGATGAATTAGGTAAATGTAAAACTTTTCCTTTCAATGGTAACCTGATTAACGTCACACATATTCAAATAAGTTACATTTAATTCAATCACAATGACCGTTTGTTTACATACGTTACGCACAGATTTGCAGTTTATATCCTAAAAGCATACTAAATTTTCGAGTAAAAATATCCCTGCAAATTCCTCCGCGTTTGTAAGGACCAATAACGTTATACAACTCAGTCACTATCTGCTTTGGTGACCCATACAGCAACCGTCGTCCATTTGTTTCGTCATGAAAAGCACACAAACTTTTTAAATATCTGTTAGCTAGAAAGATGCTAAGCACGTAGTGAACTTACAAAATGCTGATGGAAACGGTGATTCTATGTAACAACTAGAGTTCTGAGGACCAGTAAATCACTTAGCCTTTTTTGTGATGTCCTAAGATATGTGGCTTGGAAAGGTTGTTTGAATGTTTGGTATTTTAAAGTTTACCTTAAAGATGATTCTTACAACTCTTTCCATCTTTAATCTCAAACAACCATTGATTATAATAATGTAAAAATAGGGTAGAATTTGAAGATATCGAATAAAGCCGTCGAGGAAGACTTTTAAAATGAAACTAAGTAGGTACACATAATCAATAGCTGTTGTTCACCACCATCATCTCTGTTTTAAAATATGTATTTAAGTATTAAAAAGTTCTATCCTGTAGAATATTTTATTTCCTTCCTACTCTTACTTCTGTTTAAAAATAAATAGTTTCCAATGAACTTCACTTTCTTCAGTTAGACAACAAGTGTAATAAATAGGTGTCAGTAAAAATTTACTAAATATTAGTCAACTACTGATTTATAAATTCGTGTTTCTATTAAGTATCTGCATAAACAACATACTATACTAAAAAATATCTACATAGAGCCCATATACCAGAACATTTTTTACTAAATGACCCGTTATCATTAGGCTAAGAAACATTATTCAAGCACTATAATTAACAAAGAAGATAAGGTTGACCAGTCATTTGATCGAAATGCTCTCAAAAATATTTTCAGCCAAAATCTCCAAGGTGTTTCATAGTAAGCTAATAATTTTAAGGAGATTTCATGTGGGTATGTCGTTTTATATGATTTGATCTTTATTCTTTGCTTTTTAAGTAAACTAAACATAAAACGGCGAGCGATTTTATTTTTCTATTAGGCATCTTCTTGTTAATTTAATGGAGTAATGAAGTAATCTACAAGTGACAAATGTATTTTGTTTTTATCAGCAAATAGATGAGTGTAAAATATCAAACTGACGAATAGGCAATAATGTACATGGTTTTGCATCTAATAATAAGAATAAAAAGTCTCTTAGCAACTAGGACAAAATGCATTTGGGAGAGTAATTCAGATGAATAAAACTGCCTACATGTATTTCTTTATTTTTTCGTCTATCAGGATATATTGTTAGACACATTAAAGTTTAAATAGTCCTATTGCTTACTGATACTCATTTCTTTGTTATTTTTCTTATTCTTTAGAGAGAAAGAGTTCTGTACGGAGATGCTAAGAACTGCACTACAGAAACGCATATGCTTTACAACAAAGAAATAAACGCTCTTAGGTACGTCTATACAGGTATTTTAGAAAGTTTGCAACAGATCAGGATTCCCAACAAGGAGGTTGTTTACTTACGTTCACAAAGATGAAGTAGTAATGGACAAAGATGTATGTAAAAAATAATAAATAATTCTAGCAACCAATAGATATTTGTTAATGGTATTGGCAGTATTTCTTATCCTGAGAAACGAAGATCTGAAGTTCAAATGAAACCAGAGGACTTGTTGAAGTAAGCATAGAACAGTGCACTCTAAATTTTAAAGTCATTTACCATCCTATGAATTACTGTTGGAATCTCCTCCCGATCATCTACGAAATTTCAGTCATCTCCCTAATACAATAGCACAGGAAATGTATATTATGGCTGATCTAAGTGAATGTTTAGCAGATAACACAACGGATCTACCACCAAATTACTTAGGTGATGAAGTGATTCTCTGCAAAATTACAGTTGATTCTACTGGAATTCTACGTTGCCGGCCAGACTTCACTCATGGAAATGATAAACACAATATTAAGCTCAAACAAAAAGGTTTATAACAATACTTAATATGTGTTTATATTGTCAGGATCGTATTATTTTACATTGGAAAATGTTTCACAACAAATGTCAAAATTGGATAAACAGAAAATGGAACAGTTAGAAAGAGAGGTAAAGTTTTAGTTTTAACTTCTGATTTTATGAATAGATAGCCTTGAGAAAATTCTCCCAGTTATGTGCAATAATCGGGAAACAGTTTGAAATGGTATGTGTTTTATTAACACTGAATTATTTGCATAGCCTGTAGAACAAAGTTTCAGACTATTTATCACCGGAGAAATACGTGAGTGACTAATAATAATAATAATTTCAGTTTGCGCGACTAATTTTGAGAATTCTGGACTATATGTACAATATTATCTTGAGTTACCGCAAAGTAGGTTTAGCATTTGTTTAAAACATACTTTTGCAGACTGGAAAGCATACAATCGTAAACTGCTGTGTGGGAGTTCACAAGTAGCGTCAACCAAAAGCATCGGAAAGGTATGTAGTGCTAAATTTATAAAAGTATTAAAGGTATATTATCGATCATGAAAGATCTATTTGTTGATGCACTCAAATACGCGCTAACACATAGGTGAACACATTTTTTCAGGGTCAGAAAACCACTAAAATTCAATGCAGTCACCTGTCTTTTTGAATAGTCAGTAGTTTAAAGGATTGAATCTGTATTTTTTCTAGACTTTATATTTATGTACCTCAGGTTAAGCATTAGAATTTATCAAATTTTGAGTTATTACTTATGCATTGCATTTTACCATTGTCTACTTTTTAGGAAGAAATAAGTGTATTTTGTCAGCCGATTGAGTTTGACCTAACATATAGGTCAGAAATAAATATAGGTAAGTATCTTTCATTTTACTGAGAAATTTATAGTCTTATTCACTTATAGCAGACTCATTTCATTCATGTAGAGATCAATAAATTCGCAATTAAATTTAAATTAATATTTGACTACCTAAAAAGTAATGTACAAAACATTTGATTTTAGACTTAACACAAGGATCGTACTTAACATGGCCTACACTATACTTTGAAATTCTTTCACTTGATTTCTGGACTAGAAGTCGAACTGAAGGATATGGATTTATAGAACTTCCACGTGTTTCTGGTAACATTAACTTTTTTTTATTTAAATCTTCATATTTATTGGTTTGTATTTATGTACTAGACGATCATGAAGTTATGAAAAGGGCTTGCGATGCAAAAAGAATTTGATAGTCTTAGCCATACATGTGGCTGATTTCAGTGATACGTGTGTATAGGGTAAACTGCGGCAAAAAACAGCTCGGTTTTCCATCAAATCAGTTGACTCTCCTTTTCAAAATAACTTAATAACTTGTTTTATTTCTTTATAAGTTTATCTTATCGGTCCAATGAAATTCCTTGTCAGTTCGACCTTTTAGAACTGTTAACTTAATAATAATAATAATAATAATATTATTATTATTCATAGTTTGTTTAAGAAAACATTTTTACTGGATACTACTTGTATTTAGCCAAAATCAAGAAAAATACTATGATAGATAGTGGTAATTCCTTGTGCAAGTTTTAAACAGTGCTGTTCTGAATATTTATGAGATAGGTTCTGAGGCTTTCTTTAATCCATTGATTGATTATAATTATTATTGTATTCCTGTTCCCTTGGGTTCCGAGTGGAACACAGGGCTTCAGCAGCACGTCTCCATTTTGTTCTATTTTCTACAGGGCCCAGGATTGGCCACAATATTTCATCTTCTCCTCGCCCGATCTTCTACATGTCACCCTAGGACGACCCATTCAAGCGATGGCCTGGAAAGCGATTTCATTCGACGGTCTCCTCAGCGTATGCCCGACCCATCTCCTTTTTCTCCTACATATTTTTTGGATGATAGATTCTTGGTTAGTTTGTCCCCATAGTTTGACAACAACCTCGCCTAGTTTTTTAACCGGTTGCAAGCCCGGGGAAAGAGGGAAGGTTGGGCTTGGGGCTAGCGAACTTCTCCGGAAAATCAATCAAGCTGATACAGAAACTTCAATGCACGAGAAAAATATTGAAAATACAAAAAATATTTTAAAAAACATAGGTCGATACCACTTATTAACCATAGCATCGTTATTTTTAAACTGTTAACTTCTCTAATGTGAATGCGCAACAATAGTTGTTAAAGAATAAATTGAAACTATCCAGGCAATCAAAAAACATATCTTAGGTGTAGTGCACGGACCACTCAGAGGGCTACCGTCACTGAAAGCTATCTCTATTAAACAAGAATTCTGAAAATTATTTCTTCTCCGTATTTAAGGCACACATTCAATAAGCGTCAGTTGTTGGCGCCCTGTTGGTGACTCTGTAGTAGAGGACCTAAGGAGGTTTTTCACTGGTGGAACGTGTCAATTGGAAGATCCTACATTCACTAAAGTACCTGGATCATTTGAGGTGAGTATGAATTGGCTTATTCAAGTGAAAAAACATTCGATAAAGTATCCTTTGATATCCTTAAAACTATACTTCTTAGGATTACAGTGATAATAATTTTGTTATTACACTTAAGGATTTTAGCGCTGAATATCAAGTTTTTCTCGTTGCTTGTAGCTTCAGATTATCTTATCTTATCCCGGCCAATAAACAATATTATCAACTGTTATAACCGGGTATTATTAGTTTGTGTTTGTCGTCTAGATTGAGCTTCCATACACGACACTATAACCAACTGACGATTTGATAATATTCCTCACAATGAGATACACACGAAATTCAGATTTAACTGGGACAAAGACGTTTTTATTGTTCAAAATACAGGGTAGGTATATAATCAATATACCCTACGGGAAATTTAAACTACCAATAAATAATATCTGTTTGGTTGTATGGCCTTGAAAATTCTCCAAAAATAAGCCAATCAGGTTGTCATGTAAGTGCATGCATTAATTGTGATTCCACAGCTAACAGCGGTAGGTTGTTCATCCTAAAATCAACCAGTTAGCTCTCACTTATCCCAAGTGATTTTATATATAATCACGCGATTTGAAGAACTACGTGACACAAGCTTATTTTCTGTAACTAAATACATTTACTATAATACATAGTACTTTTGGCACTAGGGTTAAGATCTGTCGGTTTTCTAACTACAGTATAGTAATTCTCCAAGTCATTAAAGGTTAAAACAGTTACTGACTTGGTGTGGTATCCCATCTCGGGTATTCAAATCAAAAGCACTTTAGGCAACATAGAAACCCACTTCATCCGGCCTAACTATACCAACGAACTAGTGTTGTCATCCGATGTGTGTTAAACAAAGCTTTATAAACTTAATGAAGTTCAATTATTAAAGTGCTAAATAATTTATTATCAGGAAATTAATAACTCTAAAAACAGTGAAAAATCCAACTGACACAACCAGACCATATATTTGAAAGAAGTACTACGGTCAAGTTGTGGCAGTATGTTCTTCTTTTATAATTTCCAAACTTGCATAATCATCAGAAAAGTTCGACTTAATTGACAGGGTCTTATTGCCTTTGTTTTCATCTAATATATCAAACAAACTTACTAAGTTAGGTAGACGTTACTTAGCGTGTTGCCTAAGATATTCAAATATACTGAGGTTATTCTGTTCATATTCTACTTAAATAATGAAAAAATGGCTCAGCAAAATGTGGAATATCAGCTCATGTCGGTGGATGAGTATTATAGAGACCGAGCCTAGCCTGTAGGTATTGATAAAAAAACGAGGCAAAAATCACTCTTAATTGTTTACAACTGTCCAGAAGAACTATTTAACATACAGTTGGAAGCAGAAAAGTGCTCTTTAAAAGTATTAAATACTTATTTGGGAGTATAAAGCTATATAGTCATACAGATATTAACACAACACTAGTTAGTACGAAAGTGAGTGGTGCGGGTAAGCGTTAAAGTGTGACACGAATCAAATGAAAAATGAGGAAATTAGGGATCCGTTTGAATTAGTTGTGTTCTCTGAGGAGTTGGTTGATTTACTTACCAAGCTTTCGTCGTCCTTCCAGACAACATCTTCAAAGCAGGCTTTAATAGAAAATGAACTTATTTAAATTCTCCACGAATGATGTATAGTTGTATCTCCTGGCAACCAGAGTCGTTACTGGTTGTTAATTTTCATCTATATTGATCATTTTTATTGACTTGGAATTCCAATTTTCTTGTCATGTCACAATATCGAATGAAGTGATTGTGCTGACTTGTAAGCTATTTCTACTTCAAACTGTCTTAGTATTCTTAATATTGTGCAAACCAAGAGACCCAACAGAAAAAGAAGATGAAATTAATACTATTTGAAAAATAAATTGTACGAACTGCAATAAACATAACATCGATCAAAATGGGAGTCCCTTTTGAATCCGAATCCAAGACCACAAATTGGTTGTGAAAAGGCATGATATATATTCTTTCATATCAATGCATGTGGATAATTATGGACACCAATTTGATTAGGATAATGTATAAATTTTAAATAGAGGAAACACCAAAAATACTAGGGAATTCCTAGAAGCCTGGTACTCATGTGAATTAGCGATTAACAAACACACTATTATAGACGAAATTTATCATCTAATAAAAAGTAAATCATATGATGACAAGAAAGTTCGAATTCCAAGTCAATAAATATATGATCAATAGAGACGTAAATCAACAACTAGTCACGAAAGGGGTTGTCAGGAGATACAACTACATCATTCATGGGGAATTTGAATAAGCCCATTTTCTACTAAAACCTGCTTTGAAGATGTTGTCTAGAACGAGGACGAAAGCTTGGCAAGTAAATCAACCAGCTCCTCAGAAAACAAAACTTCCACCTGAGCTACAAATCTTCTCCTTTAGACTTAACGATAGTCAGGAATTGGTCTAGTTTGAATCATGCAGATGGTTATGTTTCACACAAAAGGACAAAATTAGAGCTTGGATGGCGTTTCGATATAGAGCTTTTATTCATCTGTAGATCTCTTGTCCAACCGCGCCCCCATCGAATCCTAATCTTTGTTTTTGGTGGTACTGTATTCCTCTTTCTTCCTGCCGTCTTTACATTACATCCCTAGGAATTTCGTTCGACATCCACTACTGCTAAGACACTCCTAGACGAGCTTAAATTCATCTCTGTTATTTATTCAGAGTTCAGATGTTTTACTCTATTACATAATGTTCGTAGTTAACCTATCTGTTGAAGTCTGTATAAAGGCCGCTCTACGCTGTTCCTTTTTTATTGTGCCGCCTTCATTTTTTCGTTCATAAGTCGACTAGTTGATTCTTGACTTCATATGTGATTGTGAATTCGATATTTTGATAGCACTACTGAACTTCTACAGCAACATTCTAACATGTCAGTCGTAATTAATCAATAAGAGTATTGTCCACATCTCCTGAGTAAAACACACTTACATTGACTGATCTCTGAAGATGTTCACTAGTCCTCTTTGTAAGGACCAAAAAGCAAATTAATTTTAACTTCAAGTGTTGGTTTGTAGGGATCTGATTGGTTACAGGATTTCATCATGAGCTGACATTGGTTAGAGAACCAATGGAAAACCTGCATGGAGTACTGGACAGCTGTTCCGTTCTAGTTTAGGACTCTTCATCAGTACGCACCCACTGGGGTTCTAATCCAGGACCTTCTGGTTACAAGGCGAGCTCGTTGAGCTATGTCGTGAATTGGCAGAAGCTGGAATTCATGGGTCATTGGGTTGGATCCCAGTGGCTTAATGGTCTACGAGCTCGCCTCGTAACCAGAAGGTCCTGGATTAGAACCCCAGTGGGTGCGTACTGTGAAGAGTCACAAACTAGGACGAAACAGCTGTCCACTACTCCATGCAGGTTTTCCAATGGTTCTCTAACTAATGTCAGCTCATGATGAAATCCTGTAATTTTAATTTCCTACGTCGATAAGCAAAGTTATGATAAGCCACTATATGTTCTTAACGACGCATCACTTACAACAAAAAACAATAAACCAAATACAAATTCTATACTCTTCACTAGTGGTAAATTTATCACGCAAAAGTTGAGATTCCCAACGAAGCTATCAGAGTTCATCTCATCAGGCAAAACAGTTGAAAATGACTTATATATGAATAAAAATGTTTTTATTACATACAACCACATGAAGAAACGTTGCGTTTAAGTATGAAAAAACTAGGGACCTTTCGAGTTTACTTCACCGAAATAATAGTCGAAGTGCATCTTTAAGACTAACAGATAATTCTAGGGTTTATTCTACTTTATTCCTATGTGGTGAAGTCGTGGTTCATGTACGTAAACACTCACTTTTAAATAAGTTAATCTTCAGTTCTAAATTCATCCAACCTTCAACTTGAGCAATATTATAAGACTCTCACTAATATTGTCATTCATAACTCACCACCTACAAAGATGTACCGGATAACTGAGTTGCCTTACACTTAAATTCATTACCACCATGGCGATAACTATTTATGTACTGTTGTCGGTTGACCACTTTTTTATACACAAAAGGACTTAATTCTATCACCAAAAGGCATATTTGTTAGTATCCTATATTCATAATTATTAGCTGACAATATAAATTATAATCGGAAGGAATCATTTATGGCTAGCGAATTGCTTCTGCAACTGAACCCAAACTGGAAGAAGCTTAACATTCTAATTACACATGTACAATATACCCAACCGCATACCAGAAACAAGTTATATATTCAACATAGTTTATTATAAATAGCGCTGAGGTTGATACTTAAACTCTAAGTGAAAACATTCCAACTAGAAATTTGGAGCTTGAACCACGTAGCGTAGCACTATTCGGTGTGTTCAGCAGTCTTAGTCTTGTTTACATAATAGGTTATGGAATCAGTCACTGTGTGTGTTAAAAGTTGCCACAATAGAGTTGAGACTTACATAGCTTAGAATGGTTTTCATAAGCTACCAGGTTTTATTAATGAAATTATTGTGGTCAGTAGAAAAAACAAACAGGATCATAATACCGAGGAATGTCTTGTTAGCTGTCAATAGATTTCAAGTTACGCCTTAATTTCACTTATGCAATCAATATGTCATTAAGTTGTATGAGATAATGTGACTACATTTTACCTTTCTTTGTATGTGTTTAATCTGATATAATTTGTTTTAACGTTTGCAGGGGCATAATCTAGTGAAATATGGATTTCGGACACGAAGTACAGGAAAACTCTTCCTACGCCTAAATTGTGCAATACAGAGCTGGTAAGTAACTAGCAAAATTTCAGGTTGCATAGAGCTATACACCACACATGTGTAAGCATTTCGGGAATGAATTTGTTTCTTTTTAAAAGAAATGATTTATTATCTACTTAGTAATGAGATATACAGACAGCAATGTGTGTCGGTGGCATAGAGGTTAGGACACTCGCCGACCATGCACATGGTCCGGAGTTTAATCCCCTGCCGACGCACACCCGATATCAATGGTCGGCCTGCAAAATTGGGCTACCGTTATCACATGCTGAAAATTCCATAATTGTACCAAGAATACGGTGTGGAGTCAAGTTATAATCAAAATCAAAAAAAGATACTTGTCTATTCGTGCTAATTGTTTGTAAACATGAGGTGTTAAATCTGGAATATATATATATATATATGAAACTTCCTAGGATCTTTATGTATCTAAAAGACAGCATACTAAAGCTAACAAATACACATCATGCTGTCACCTTTAATTTAAACATTTCAGGATACATAAAAGAAACAAGTTTGTATTACAAACTATCTAATGACCTAATTACATGAGCTATTTATCAAATCCTATAGGAGAATCAATACATCCTAAACACGCCATCAAAACAAAAGAAAGTTGCATGGATATGGTTTTGCTAGTACTGTGGACATCATGAATTGATATCCTTTGTCGTATAAATGTTAAGCGCATACAGAAACGCCACTTATTAGTTCAAATTGCAATATCCATGTGGTATGACAAAGTGAAATTTAACTCCGTTAGTTCAATATTTAGTAAACAGTTGGATATCTGAATGTAAAATAAACTTCGGTCAATATGTTTATCTCGAACCAGTTCTGTCTTATCGATTAGGTGGTTACTTCCCCAACTTCTGTTTAAAATATCTTGATTGTCTGAAGTTGGGTGATTACACCTTTGTCAAAAAATATTTTATTATATCATTGACATCTTGCGCTGTCTAAGAAAAGAAAATTATCCTACGCACCTAAACATGTACAGGAATACAAAGATTTATGTCATGGTTAGTTTTATACTACTCCAAAACTTGTTAGCATTAATCTTTTCCCTTTTACAAAACGTCTAAACACCTCTAAAAGTTCACGTATAGAGGGCGTTGTGTTTTAGTTGAGAAGCGTTTTACTCAGATACTACCTTTGAATGTTGGTAAATTCAGGAAAAATATCATCAATTAAAAACATACTGCACCGTTTCTTCTTAAAAAAAAAGAAACTCGTAGTACTGTGTACTTCCAACAGTCGTATACAGAATTATGATTTACGTAGAACAATTGACAGCTTATAATCTAGCCACAATACATTAAAAACTGTGAAAGACAGCAATTTACCAGAGAAGAGACAATTAGTACTTTATAATTTAATCAAAATATGCGTTGTAAAACATTTATACATATTAAGAAAAAAGTTACGAAGTTTTCATCATTAAAAAAGTGAAATGGTACTTTTATAAACTTTCAGGTCAAATTTGTACAAAGTTATGAGCCAATGTCCAACCATCGGAGATGAAAAGCGAAAGCGGTATGTTGTGTTTGAGATATTCATAATGAATTTCCATTTTATAGGATAGCGCTTGCACATATGGATGTTTCAACTGTAATAAGTAAGTTGTGTATATGTATATGTTTGAATTCACAATCTAGAAGCATATCAAAAGGCTCGTTCCAAGTTACTGGAAACAAGAAAAGTTATAGAAGGTTTGGCGAAGCCTGATTCATAGACGTGTTTAAAGAAATAATAATAAAAGCACAATACAAGTCCAAACATGAATTTTTGAAATGTACACTTTTGGACAATATATGAAGAATGTTTATCCACAAAAGCTTATCAAACATCAGTTCGTTTTATCCTTGAAGATTCTCCTCGACAGTAGGGACAGTACCATTTACCCTTAGGTTGCACTCGAACATCTACACATGAAAAGTGGAACCATTCAACCTCACAAAACTTGTTGTCACAAGCTATCATATCACCAAACGACACCTTTTTGCAGATACAATACAAACGTTCATCAGGACTAGCACTTGCTTCACTTATACTACGATTAGGAGTACTTACTGAATTTATTTTGTGTCGAAATAGATTCACATCATCAGTATGCGTACTATATCTGAATGGACTGCCTGGTGGAGAGCGTGTATTCATTTGAGAGTCCATCTTATGTCGTGCAACGTTATTAGCCCTACAACCTCGTCTAGTGTTGCCTTGAGGATGATTTTGAGATGATAAAGAACCACGGTTGATAGAATGCTCCGGTGATAAAGACGGAGCAATAGAATTCGCTCGGTGTGAGTGGCTAGATTGTGTAGTGTTATTCAGACCTCTTCGAAGTCGATACATCTTTTGGCGACCTGTATCACCATTCTGCACAATTGACAGCTGATTAGCAGGTGTTCTAATGTTTTGCTGTTCTTGAGAACAATTTTGATCGCTATCAACACCATATGCACTATGACCGATTTCATCTCCATCTTCTGAGTTTTCGTTTTCACTGTAATTGTTATTCCAGTCAGAAGACCTTTCTCCTAACCTCCTAGGGCTTTTTAAACTAAGTAGAGTGTATGCATCTCTTTCTTCTACTTTACCTTCTTCATTATTCAGCTCACTCACAGACTTGACCGGTGAGTTAAAACAACTATTATTGGGATAAAAACTAGGATGGTCATGTTCACAGCGACGTCTTACAGCACCCATATATCTTGCTTCATTACAGCTGTGTGGGGTGTCTGAATGAGTACATTTTGAAACTGCAACCTTTCTCTTACGAGATCCGTGTCTGAGCATAGCATACTCTAGATATTGGGGAGGTCTGGTGCGATTTGAATGAAGTGGTCTTGATAATACACGACTTTTGAATCTCTGTTGCTGGGTCCTAGGATAACGTCCATAGGTCACACCTACCTTATGCTGCTTAAGATCTATGGGTGTTCTGTTTGTTGATTTATGATTGGAGTTATTGTGTGACTTTAACAAGTTGGCGTTTGAATTGACAACTGAGTTGACAGGTTTGAAACGATGCACACCAGAAACCCATTTATTCAATGACCGTCGTGAAGCCGTTCGACTGTTTGTGCTAACAGCACGTAGTGGAAAACGCCCCTTTCCTCGTAAATTTATGTCATTACATCGTGCGTTTGATAAAGAATTCGGGGAACACTTATCGGAAGTCGGTTCTTGAATGAAATTACGTCGTGATGGATTCATATTACACTGGTGATCGGAAGTTTCCTGGTCGCTGATATCAGCTTCACTTTCCAGGACATCTTCTGTGTTTGAAGCAATAATTTGTGGACCAATCGTATCCACTTTCATTTCCGCATTCATCAGTCTGAGTGAGTGTGTTTCAATCACTTCATCTAACTAGATAAATGTGGAATAAAACATTGTAACAAGTAAAGAGTAAGACATTCAAAAATTTATGAATATACAAATAGATGATACGTACAGTTATAAAAAGAAATTGCAAAAATACGAACATTCGTTGTGATTGTGATCGGCTTTATAGCTATTAGATAAGTAATCATCAAACTGAACTATGCAGTGAACGTATGAGTCAACAAACAATTTGCTTAGAGAGGTACAATTACTCTACTTGCAGACCGCTGCAGCAAACTAATTTTACCTGTGAAACATGTGCAATAGTAATAAATCTATTTAATGTGAACGATAAGAAAGTACAAGGAAGACTATTGTGAAGTTGAAACGGTTAAATTTCGTAATCTTTGTGTAACCCAACAAATAGATGAAAACCAGCACGTCACTGTTGCTTTCTCTCATTTCTTGAATGCAAGCACTATACTAAGCTACTCAAACCGAAGTATAGAACAGAAATGAAAGCCACTTATTAAGAATCACTAGGTAGAAAATTTTTCCTTTACCATGCCAGTAAATATTCAACAACTCGAAAGCGTGTTAAAACCAATTTCAACTGTCGACATCTGGGTAGTATTAAAACCTTTACAAAAATAAGCAACCGCATAACACGTAGATATACACAGTATAGTTTAGATGTTGCATTTGGTGGCTCTGTTATATACTAACACTACTACGAAATTAACTGTTGACAAACACCTGTGATCCTCATTTCTCAGATCAATAAATGCTTCATTTCCGACAAATATAAGTAAATACCCAGTTAAATATCTCTTGATTTTCATGCTGGTGGTAACCGCACCGAGCGCTATTGTTACTCCGTTACACAATTTCGCAGCACCATTTGCTTAATAGTCACTAAATCTTTGTTACTTAATCCCAATGCTAAAAGTCTTGTGTCGAAAATTTTCTCGTCGTGTGAAATCTCATCGAAAGTTTTTTTTAAACAAACGAGGTCAGCTGTGCTTTCTTAGACATCCACACTTATTCAACTGCGTTCTCCATAAGTTGTCTGTTTACCAATGTAACAGTTCATTAAAAAATTCTCAAAGATCTGTACTTCCCCGTAGATCGCTCATTTAATTTGCTTAACAGTGAGATACTTCATGTAAAAAGTATGCGACTGTGTACGGGTTTATACATTCGAACCTAGGCGCTAACATTTAGATGCAGCTAGTGTCACTGTGGCTAACCGGTCTAGGCACTCGACTCCCAACCAGTGGGACACAGTTTCGAACAACACTATCAACCAAGGTTTGGGTAGACAGAAGCATATTTAGTCCTAGTATAATAGCACTAGCTTATTGCAAAGGGAATGGAAACTTATGACTGAATTATCACCGCAGAACTATGCAGTAAAGTATCATAAAGTATCCGAACTTCATAAGAACAAACATGAAGATACAGAACAGAGACGCAATGAAACTACAATAAACAAAAATGAACACAAGAGAATATTTACGAGAAAACAGTGATGATTTTCAGAAAGATCATAAGGAATGGATACATTTGTGTCACTGAGAACGGTTTCCAGCCATGTCACCTAATACACTCCAACCATTGGCTCTTAGCACCGATAAGATCCCAACCAGGCAGTCTGTAATTCCTTATGTGGCTCAAACCAATTATCAAGATCCTTATGGATTGGTGTCGTGTTTTCACCTAACCACTCCGAACTCCTTCCCAACCTAATCCTATGCCAGCTAACACTGGTCGGTGAGGAAGGTGTTGGCTCGGCAGGCTCATCACTTATCCTAGCCACCACAACCAATGTAGCTTCGCTTCAGCGATTGACTCTCTTAACCTAACACTACGCTTAACCTCAATATTACTCACCATATACCATTTAACACGGGAGACTGGACGCAAATATCGCTGGTCAAGGACAGTTAATCTAGATTGTTTAAGGCTTCCACTTTCAACGGCTGTCTTACAGAGGTAAAAGTCAGAGATAACTATTGAGCAGAATGCGAGTGCTTCGATAGACAACCAGATAACACGTCTACGTCAAAGTTTGAAAATGCCACACACCCCTCTGTATCTATGCGAGATTTTGTCAGCGATCAGTACATTAGGACTGATGCAACTCCCCCCAATAAGTGATGTCAACATGCTCAATTACTCTACCCCCTATCTTTAAGATGGAAGTTAGTAAAGCACCATCTTACATTTAGACAGGGTCGAATCGCATACGGAACATACGAAGATTTCCGCTCAAAGAGTTCAAAAGATTGATATGAATATAAAACTTGGGCACTATGGTAGAGTACAACTCCATTATGGATAAGATTTTATTTTGATAAATCACAGTGTTGTACAGTAATATTAACTGATGACGTTTCGAGCACGTATTATTGCTTATAATCATATCAAGTAAGTTGTGTGAGTGACTTGAGTCAAGCTACTGATCACAGTCCAGTGCACTGAAGATTACAGCTGTCGATACAACTACTTTCGAGACTTAGCTGTCTAGAAAAAGCTACTAAGTAAGCAACCACACACGTAGTATTTAATGCTTATACTGCATTTTTGAACACAAAACAGATGACCCATGAAACTACGCACTTTGACCGCTCTAAAGAGACCATGTACGAACGGGGAAAATGTGCTAATCTACAATTTCATGAGTTTAATTGTACTTCCTTCAGCAGTTACAATGACCTATATTTACATTGACTTAATTAATAGCACTGCTTTTATTACAAGATTGTTTCTTCATGATGCAGTGAGGTTTATAATGACTGCGAATTCCCAGACTGAAAAAAGCTTAACATAATTATCCTCAACATCACATTTACGAACACTATGAGGATCCATAAAAACAAACACAATTAACCCTAAGGCAGGACTCAGACACACAACTTATAGCCACATGCTGATAGAGTCAGACAAGTGTTTACGAAATTATTTTCCATAAAAAATCTAAGATAGTCCTATAGATGTACAGCCCATAGAGTACGACGAAGAACAGTTAAGAGGTTGACTTACTTCATCCAGATCATTGATTCTACGATCACATATATTTTGGATAGCAGCCAAAAGACAAATAATCCGACTCAGATGATTTTGTTTAGCATCGGTATCTGTAGCTTTCTGTAGATCATTCAGAGATTGCTTCGCAAGCGTTAAAAGATGACGATGTTGCAGGTCTGTTTGTAAGTATCCAGTAATTTTAGATTGCATCTCCAAAGGAAGGATTTGGAGTAAATCGACATAAGAACTGATAAGTGAGTCCATCCCTTTATGGTTGGATTTCAAAGTTGAATGAATATCACCAACTTATGACGACTTTCACAGCAGGATATCCTGCTGCAGTTTAGTCACTTTTCCCTTTTTGAATATATAATCCATTTGAATCAGTTCAAACTCCTGAGGTTACAAACATCCCACAGTTTTGAGGAACAGTGTCGAGCTATTACGTAAAATACTCATCCACAATTCATGTATCCGACCAAAAATTTAAGTGTATTTGAGGCAAACTTGTAAGAGGCGCCGGTGAATGTGTTCACCGAAGGGCCCCGATGATTGGTTAACCTGTTTACAGGCATTGTAGTTCAACGTTCCAATGGTCAGTAGGGTTTGGCGATTAAAGAGGAATGATATTTTCCCCATCTAAATGGATTTCTGCTGAGTGGGTCTAGCTGATCCCCTGTCATATCTCTGAGCGACTTGGAGAGTGAAAGATAGATTGTTTAACTGTAAAGAGAAGTTCGAGTGACTTCATTGCATATCCCCGCTGACTTTAGCGTCGCAGTTGGTCGGTATGTCCTACACGTTCTACTTTTTCGGACTTTTGAAGCCACTTTCGACTAAACTATCACTTATATACTACTCAATAATATTTTCTGAGCACTATTATACTCTGTCATTTCCTCACTGTCTAATCTTTAAATATATATACATTTTACATATAGATACACATTTTATAAATATACTGTTGGTGACATGTTTTCTTTATTAGTGTTTATTCCACTTTGAGGCTTTTCAGAACGTTTCTCTCTCTCTGAAATAGCTCTTAGTCAATCGTGGACATAGTACTTACCTGAATATAGGTTGTTCGTTGGTTGACTAAAATCACTAGCAGCAAACGAAATGGACTGTGGGTTGCCGCTCGAACTTGGTGATGATCTTAGTGGCGGCCCAACAATTCAACGGTTTTACGAACCTGTTCTAGTTGCTCGCAATATAATCCGACCGTTAAAACTGCTGAAAAGGGGCTAATTTATTGATATTTAACGATCATAATTTATAACGTGTTTGTTGGTACCAGTAAAAATGACATGCATGTCGTGTAAACTAACCTGTTTATACGAAATATAAATTATTGTCAAAACAGTGAAGTGGGATGAACTTTTAGAGTTACACTACTCCTATTTTTCTGGACACAAAATGCTGAACGGCGTTTAAAGACTGCTTCTAAATTGGCCTTGCACCTATCACCTCGTGGAATTTCTAATTCAAACTGTTCGGTTATTTTTTTCCTTCGCTTCCTACATTTTATGCTTTGACCTGAATCGGAAGGTCTGGGGAGTGACTTTTCTCAGTTTAGAATGTCTGCAAAGGCAACGTAGAGAAAAAGTGTAGCGAGGAATGATATTCTGACAGGCATCTCAGATGGCACTGTAAATAAGCCAGCCACCAAGGAAACTTACGTTTAGCTTATAGTCGTTGATACGAACACTAGAGTAAATATAATCTTCACAGGGATTTATCACTGGTGATACACATATTTGATTAGGGGGCTTCCATGTAGATTTAAACAAGAACCCATTTATCAAAAGTAGGTTTTCAGGGATTTTTTTGACTACGGCTCAGATCACCATCCGGCATCTTTTAAAGAACCACTGAACGATCATGAAGTACTGGGCGTCCATCTATTCCAGTCTAGTACTCTTCAGTAGTGCACAGACATCGCATCCAGGACCTCCAGGTTGGAAGGCGAGCCCATAGACTAGTCATTCACTGAGGCCCTATCCAGTGACCAGTGAATTCCAAATTCTGCCAGCCTGCGAACTTTACGGCACAAACGTCAGCCAGCACCAAAGGGAAATAACTCTTCTCTTAGCTGGCCTGGTGTAATCCGCTTGTTAGGACTTCTCACCAGTACTCCAGGTAACTCAGTTATATATATATAAATGAATATCATTGTAACATCAGGGACAAATTATTGGGTGAGGATACTCTTTTTAACGACTTTCTTATCAAGCTGTACAATAGAACATGCTTCTAGAGAGGCAAGAGGGAATGCAAAAGGGTATTAAGGATGACGTGAGTAAAACCAGGTCTGAGAAATTCAAAATGAGTTTCACCCATGTACTAGAAGTAACGAAAAGCATTATTTCTAGCACTTATCCCATAGTAAATATACATTTTTAATTCCCCTGACTTCACAAGTTCTTCTGCGGAATACAGATCCACTTACGTTGTATCAGCTGACCACTACAAAAAAGTTTGGTGTAAGTCCCTAAGCAATCTAAAAGTAAGACGTAGTTTCACATGGTTAACATTCATCTTGTTAAATTGCGCAGGAAAAACAATGTGTAAATTATTGCAATACTCAGAAGTACTATTAGAGTTACACTTACACGCTTAGACAACGACATTCGTAAAACTGTGGTAGCGCGATTCCGCCTAATGGTCTCATATGTGTGTGTTCGATCCATGTCCGTTTTCATCTACATTTTTGTTGAGTTATAGGTTATATGCTGGTTCGTTTCCTGAGTTTCTTTTTGATAATTCTCCCTGATCTGCCATTTGATTTTCCATATGGAACCAGTGAAGGTTGATGCTGGTAAAAGTCTGCAACAAGTTGTTTGAAATGCTTTTCGTGGCGATCCAAATACCTGACATTTACAGAAAAACTGGCTGACTCAACATTGGTGTCAAAAATCCGAATCTTGTTCTCAGGCAGGGTTCAGAAGATCTCCCAATTTATTCTAGAGTGATGAAGGTCTGTGTTGCATTTCCGATTCTGGTTTTGACATCCTCATTTATCCTGTTGCATGTAGCAGAAACGATGCCGTGTAGAAATTGAAGAAAGTCGCTTCCTTAAATTTTCACCCGTTGATAACGACTGGTGCTCTTTGTTCGTTTACTATCTTCACCACCTCTGTCTTCTCTGTGTTTACTTGAAGTCCAGTCTTCGCTTCCTACCTCTTCTGCCAGTTGGTTGGTTTTCACCTGTAAGTCTTCCTAATCCAAATCTTCTAGAATCTTCTTATCGTCCATCATCTTCCTGCCTACTCAATACCGACAGTCTCACGCATAGTCCGGTCCTCCACAATAAGAATATCATAGGTGATAGTGGACAGCCTCGTCTTTTCTCTGTATTCCGTAGCACGATTCTCCACTTCTTTATCCAGTGCGATGTACACTGAACTCAGTTTCCGCTTCTGTTGTACACCTTTATATTGGTTCATCTCCTGCTAGCTTCCAGATGTCTGCTGAGGACCACTGGTCGCCTCGCCTCTTTCTTCTACCTGAGACGTCAGTGTGCGCTTTCCTGAACACAACCTTCACAGCGTTCTAATGTTCATGCACACAAATTTTCTCACTGATCCTACTTAATAGCTTGAACCTTCCTCTAATGGTGAATTAGAAGAGGTCTTTTGTAGGTTTGTCTATAAGTCTCTGAGTGTTGAATTCGAATTTCAGTCTATCTGCATTTGTTCTGAAGGCTTCTAGCTTGACGTTGAATGTTCCAAGAGCCAGATAATGGTTTCAGCCCACTTCTGCTCCCTTTCTAGAATTAGCGTCCAGAAACCTGAGTCTTCACTTTTTTCAGTTTGAGGTGAGGTCCATCTGATTTTTGGCGTGTCCGTCAGGTGAAATCCATATCGCCTTGTGCATATTCTTACACTTGTACACGATGACTCCAATCATCAAATCACTGAAGACGAAGAAGTCTGAGAAGAGTCCTCCCTTCTCACTCATTTCGCCGAGCCTACTGAATCGTGATGAATTCTCTTCCTGTATTGTCTACTCCCAGTTCGGATTGCATTCATATTGTCCGTGAGGATTTTGATGCCATCACTTGAGATGTTATCCATTGCTGTTTTCATTTGTCCATAGAAATTTTCTCTTGTTCTGAGTTCTTACTAGGCACGGAACATTGGGTAGTTGTAACCTTCCATCACTTTGAGTTGAATCATACTGTCAAAACTTCGCAGGAGATTGTTACCCACTTCATTGGTGCTTTGTTTATTGTCGGTGATACTACTCCCTCAGTTTGCTCGTGGTTGTTGTCTCGGTGATCAAAGCAGATTGTTGACTCTCGAGTTAATTTTGAATAGTCCATATGTATTTCACCTGTTCTCGCAGATCCCGGGCACTTCAATGGCGTATCTTCTCATATCTTTTGCAACCTGGGCAGCATTCGCAGCTTCGTATATTGTACGAACATTTCACGTCCCAGTGCTTATTTTCGCTTTCATCGGAAGAAGACGCATTGGCTGAATGGCTTCCTGGAGGCTCTGATCAACCCGCGTCATTTCGCCTCTTCGATTCCAGCGAAGAATAAGTTCGTCTTTTGTACTTTCCCAGTTCTTTGAGACTTCTGCAGCGATTAGATCGATTTTCCTGGTTTAGCTCACTAGCCCCACATCTTCCCTCTTTTCCCAGGTGTAGGACCAGCTGAAGAACTAGCGAACTAGTCAACTAGTCGGCGTGAATTATACTGATATTTATTTGTAGGTTTTGAAGCTATAACATTTGAACCTGCAACAGTCTGAACCCGTAAGGTTTCAAAGCTGTAACGTTTGGTACTATAATCATTTGTGCTGTAACTGTCGCCTTGTGCTAGTTTATTTTGCGACGATGAATATACTCCAAACTGCCAGTTTGTCTTCTGATATTTGTGAGCTGCTTCCAGTTCATAGTATTCTGAGTTGCCCCTATTAGTCTCCTGGCTTCACCATCAGTAGGTTGATATAAGTATAAAACTTGATATGATTATGAGCAGTAGTTTGTGCTCGAAACGTCATCAGTTAGTATAACTGTATAACACTGTGTGATTTATCAAAATAAAATCTTATCCATTATGGAATCAGTAGGCTGAGTCTTTGCATCTGTTATATTTACAAAACAGAATACCGAGACCCAAGTATTCTGACTGAAACGCAGGAGATCAATCTAAGACACAAAATGATTATTATTAAAACCTTTTGTAGTTTTCCCCTTTATAGTTAAACACCCTTGGCTAAGCCACATGCGAAATTAAGCTCCAGTGAGATCAAAGCGTTACTAAATTTTACGATTTCTTGTCTGTTAAGCAGTATAGAGTTATAACAAAAATAAAAAGCTACTTTAAAAAGAATGTCATGTAATGACACAGTCTGACAGTTTCTCCGGTATAAAATAGGTACTATACAGCGAAAAAAATAAGCTAAACTCAAATGTAAAATAACTACCAAACAGTAGGAAAAGCCACAACAAAACTAGGTTAAAATTTGGTCCCCTGAATTCAATATTACCAAACACGTTTTGATCAGGCATTTCAATGAAAAGCAGTCACTCCACAACTTGTTGCTGCCATATTTTGACTGAACTAGAGTACACGTATCTTCTAGTATTTCCTCGCGTTTACAATTGTGCCCTAACGTTGCGATTACTCGACATCCGCAACGTAATTCAAAAGGCACTTGCGAAGGAATACGATAGTGTATTATTGCAGCAATCAACAATTCAAAAATCGAGCGAGTACAAAAAGTATCAATTGTTAACATGCAAGATTTAGAGTAATAAACAAATCAAAGTACAATTACATAGTGAAAGTATACTGCGATGATGAGTAATAAAACGGGTCACTACAAACTTAAGTGGAACGGAATATCGATTATGGCAAATAAGCACCGTATTGTGAACAGTCAAACAATATCAAATTGTTAATTGAAGGGATTCATCATTAACCAAAATAAGGATAAACGAAAGGTTGATTTCCACGCAGGTGAGGTAATTTCGAAAGGATGATATAGAGGTAAGGAGTAAAGGATAATGATTACAAAATTAGCATAAATTTTCAGAAAGACGTCAGTAATGTGGGTATACCGTTCTCAGGGGATTTTCATATCCATCATTCTAAGACAATTACCGCTAATTGATACTTGCCGATTTTCAGTTATGGCGGTGGTCGCCAACGGTAATCGCTCAAATCTGACGAACAACAATATGTATTTTGAAAGCTTGAGATTTAAACATGAGATCAGAACCATTCCTAAAAAAGACCATGACTGTCTAGGTCCAAAAAAGCAAGGCCTTTGCTTCTAACATATACCGATTTGTTCAGCCTCCTGCAAAAGTGCGTTTGTGTGAGCTTTGTAAAATTTCACCGGACATCTTATGAGTTAGCACGTTTCACGCCTTCTCCTCTTTAGGATCTTTGAAATTACCTCGGGGTAAACCTTTGTTTGCATATTTATGTTTTGAGAAAAGCTAAAGTGAAATACGTACCTCAAGCTGGTGACAGATGAGGAATCACTGGTATCCCTTGTCTATGCCAACAAAGTATACAAAGGCTAACGGATCTCTGAACTCGCAACCTAATCGAGTGCACGCATAGGATGAGGCCGAGAATTAAATAAATCCACACAATAACGTGTAATTCATTAAATCACTAGGGACATCTCAGTTCGTAAGCATGATCAATAAAATAATGGTCGTATGTTATGTTGGCCTATCCCGATTTATTTATTTCCAGACTGGGCACCTATCACTACATCCCTACCCTTCAAAAGGTGTGCAAAACGGTTAAGCATCGTCTTTAACTTGGATCAGTTTGGAAGCGTACTGTCTGTGATCTTTTGCTGTCGGAACTGAATCTGAATATAATCTTTTTTCTCTCAAATTCTTTTGTGTTGGTTCTGGATTGAGTACGATAGTTCGAAAGTCTCATTTAGTAGATTTAATATTGTCATGTCTTCTGGAGACATGGTGTATTGCCATCGTATCTGGTTTTTATGTTTCATCGACCTTTCTCGCCCAACTTTGACCTTCGTATATAAGGGTCCAATGACGTTACTCTATCAAGCCTTCCGCCCATTTTCTTTTCCCCATTCGATAATCATGCGTAGACAGTGTCTTCTTCGTTGCACATACCCCACAATATTTCTTGCTGATGCAATGGTGACAGTAACATAGAATGTTGGTACCTTAGTAGTATTTGTCACAAAAAAAGTTTTGCAGGGATTTTTCTGCTGTTTTTCCAGTTATGTGATGAAATATACAAAAAAGAGGTTTTGTGTGGCTTCTAGTTCAGCCCCTCCTGCCTTCAGTAAACCTCTTCCAAAGGTATCCACAAATCTTCTTGCCCGTTCGACTGAGGGTGGTAAGCTGGTGTCCACACGTGTTACATAGCGTTCCTCCAATAGAATTCACGGAACACTTGCGGGGTGAATGGATACAATGTATTCTGGTATGCCATGACCTGCGAAGATTTTTCATATAACTGATATTGTCTGGCTACTGGACGGTGGAATAACTCCCAAAAGCTACTTTGAATAAACATCCACCAGAACCAAGAGGTACACACCATCTATCGACCCAGCAAAACCAACACGTAGTCTGAACCACGGTTGCAATAACGGCCATGCTTGCGTTGGCCCACAGGGCAGGTTTCTGGCTGCAGCTTTGCACCCGTGAGGGCTGCAAACGAAATCTTATATATAAGCACCCACAATATGCATAACTTTCGGAAATAGATTTTATCCGCGCAGTTCCTGGGTGCATAAGATCAAACTGTTTCAGCACGATCTATCCCCAGTTGACAGGTGTTACCACTAGTCTTCCGACATTATGCAGTCACTTACCACGCTGAAACTGTGACTCCGCCAGAAATTTTCCTTGAGGTCATGGTTTGACGTGGATTCTGGCCAGGAGTCTCGAGGGAATGTGATATTCTTTTGCAGAGTAGCATATCTTTCTGTAGCCCTTCTTATTCAATCTGCTGTATTTGAAAGCTGTTCAGCGACATATGTTAACAAGTCCTGGGTGTGACTCTGTCTTCACGAATGCACCACCCATTTCTTTCGAGGAAGGAGATGCAAATACAGTGTGTTACGTCTAATATTGGACCTTTAAAGGCCAAAGTTGTATTCCATATGCCATTTCAAATTTCGTGTTAATTAGACTTTTGTACATTTCTTGTTTGAGATGACATTTTACCAGCTGTGAGCTAATTTGGGGTTCAGATAATGTGCTCTTTGGCTTTTGGACGCTAAAACCCCCAAATTTAATGGTTTGTACCATGTTTATCTGGTACATTTCACTTAACAGAACAGTAGTCATTCAGCTCTTCAAAATTCTGTTACCAGTATAATTTTATTCGGGACCATTTGGCTCTGTTTTAAATTTGGTCGAGTTTATTTGGAACAACTTGGTATTACTTCGGTTTTGTAGGAGATTACAAGTCTGTATCCTCAAATTTTACTCGCGCGGCACCTGTAACACACTGTTTAACGAGATATCTGAGAGTTACAGCTCCTCAAACCAGAGCGAACTGAACAGATCAAGGTTTGAGATATTAACGTTACATGTATGGACGAAGTGAATATCACACGAAATTGGTACTGCTTTCTACTTCTTCACTTAGAGGAAGTCTTTTTCTGCATGCACTGACAGCTGTCTGATAAATCTTCTCTATGGTGAAGAATCCCAACATCTGCCATAGTCTTGTAAGAGTTAGACTTGGTATTAACTTCGACCTAAAAGTAACCACTCTTACAAAACTTCTTCACTGCTTATGGCCTTATTAGTACTCTGCCTAACGTGCAAGTACTAACGAACGGAATCAAGGTTAAAAGACTTGAGATGGCAAGTGTGACTGGAACAGAACTGTATTTACACAAAAGAGATATAGAATTTGATAAGAAATAAAAGGTACACACTTATCTGGAGGTGAGATGGTGGTCAGCTCGGAGAGTGTACTAGGTGAAAGTACAGCGAGAGAGCGAAACCGAAACCGCACAGGAGGTTCAGGAATGCAAAGTGGAAGTTGGGTTAAAGGTCAGGCTGAGTTCTCTCAAACAAAAGTTCAAAGGTACAATGTACACTACAGTCTCTTCGATATTATTGTGATGTTGGATGCCTTGCCAGTTTGAAGTCATGAGTCGATCATGACATCTGTGTATATGCGCGGTTCACAGGTGATGATGAGATGGGTCGACAGTACTGGATGCACTGCATGTACTTCTATCGAATTCTGACCGCTGGACTGAATCAGTGTGTTGTCTGTGTTAATATATGTCTCCAGTACCTTTCAGCGTCATGCGTAGGTATTGTCCAGTCCTGTTCAAGAAGTGTTTTATTTCATTGTTCAAATCAGTAAACTTGGAGGACCTCAAACCAAAAATAGAGATAAGGATTTCAAAGTGATCTTCTGCCAGAGGCCTTAACTTGAACCGCTCACAATGGTGACTAACAATGCACAGCTGAGTGTGAATATCATCGTTTTGTATAGCACCGCTTTCACATCGCGGTGCCGTATGTTGAAGAAAGACTTGTAGTTACCAAATCTCTAGCAGAGTGTCTGGAGGTCTTCGTCTTGTTTGACTATAAGCCCATCTGACATGGAGCCCGTTTTGTCATATTTAGAGAAGAAATAGGGTTTATCTTTTCTTGGTATTTAAAATATTGCTTGCAATACCGAGAGGAAATAGAATAATAATAATGATAATAATAGCTTTATTCCAAACAGTATTTGTGGTACAGGTATGGAATTTTCAGCGTGCAATACAATATTGCATCTAATTACCTGATAAATTTTTATAAGATTTTGAAAATAAAAAGCAACAACAACAAAAAGAAAAAAAGAAAAATAAAAGAAATAAAAAAGAACAGCCTTGCATTCACATATTTAAACAATGCACCACAGGATATGAAATATAAAATTAGTGTGTAATAGAATATGTGAGCAACAATATAATAATAGTAATAACTGGTTTCCGTAGTCAAAAATATCCGCATGAATACTTAGTCTATTATTGGCTAAAACTGGCAGATTATGACCAGGAAAAGGCACTAGGTACTTGGTCATGCATTTTTTTGAGTGCGACTCTTGAACAAATCTACCATGTTGACTTCATGGGTTGAGTCCATTTGGTTGTTATGCCGGGTGATTATTTCAGATAGCATTCAGCACGAATTATTTGCCGTGAAATATTCTGTGGGATAACACCGACATCACGGAAGTTTGTGTTTCCTGGACGCTGTAACGTATTGCGTGTTTCAGTAAAGGTGGCCTATTACATTTGTTTGTATTAGTGGATTGCCAAAGGCGGAAAATATGAAATAGTACCAAGTTGACCTTAGATATTTCATGCGGAGGTTAGTGGTCAACTGAAAGGCCTCAATAATCCTCATCTCCTTGTCCTAAACCTTCGTAAGTCATACAGTTCCTTGTTCTTTCTAAGGGGTGTTTTAATATGTGGAAACAATGATCTTGAAAAGTATTACTGTACAACATAATGAAGTGCATGTTATCATGCTTCAGCAACTCAAATTGAGTGTATTTGTGGATCGTTCGTTAACATATTATTCCTTTTTGCGACAGAATTGCTTTGTGCAGATATTAGCGTTAACATTTGTTTCAAGTCGGTGTTATATCTGTACATATGTGTACACTGATTTGACTATTTCAGGCTATATTATTATCTACACGAAGAATTAAATAAATCATGGTTGGTGCCCAAGTACTATATAACACTAAGTTTGTTCTATATAAACTTTGCTCACTAGCGACGAAAGTGCAAGCAAGCGTGGCACTTCATCTAAAGTACCTGACGCCCACTCTAAATAAGTCAGTGTTAAATTTCCCGTGAAAAGTATCTATTTTGACTGTTTAACTAAATATCCGGGTTTAAGCCAAAGTATTGGATATTTTTTCGTCTTTGTCACTACACCAACACTTTCCGGTCACTCGCCTCACTAATCTTAATTGCCTCTTTATTTGTTTATTTGATCAGGCTTATTGATTTTGAGTCAACCTGTAGTCGCACATCGTTACGGCACAGTCCAGTGACTTTTGTTATGTGCTGTGCTATGCACCTCTTCCGTTTGGAGACGTATAGCAAATTTGAAATAAATAGGACAAGGTCCGGGATTGTTTCTTATCTATCTGTCCTTCTGTAAACAAGCATTTCAATCCTTAGTACCACTTAGATCTTAATATTTTTCTCCAACTTACCATTCACGATCTATAAACACACGATATGCACTTATCATCAGGTTGACTTAATTGAGGCAGTAAGTGACTGAGTGTTGCAAGTTGTGGCGAAAATATTGTTAGGGTACGATTATGTAGTTTTTTTTTATAAATTTCACTTGGTCAGCATTTTCTCAAGTACAGCGTTTCTTGATAATTCACCGAATCCACAAACTTTAGGTGACATATATGTATGATGTACGGTTTTAGTAGGGTTGGTTGGTTACCTAGAAATGCTTAAATATCTGTGAAGTCTGTTTTCTGTGTATCTGCTCTACGAATAAGTAACAACAAAAACTGCAGATATGACAAATTTATACCGGTGATTCTACCTTTATGCAACAGCATTTTCGATCACTGATGACCGACGAATGCAATCCCAGTCAGTTACTGCAGCTAACACCATAGGATTTTAATTGGCAGTCTATGGAGATTCTTAATAATACTCTTTTCGAAATAAAAGTAGACAATTTGCGTTTGATTCTCATAAGCTATATGGAAACTATTTCTCACCGTGAAAGCTTCTTTTAAACAGTCCACCTAGTTGCCGCATCTTTATCTAGGGGATGATGATCAAGAAAGCTGTGAGCCTATGAAAGTGTGTTCTTGTTTTTCTTTCGGGGAAAAGTATCTGTGTTAAGGTCATACTACCGGTTACGCACTGTCGCAAGGTCGACCTTTTGCAACTCTCTGCAGATCAGTAAGGTACCACAGCTGGCTTGTTGGTCGTTTGTTAGAAGCACCTTACTTCTGTCACATATCTCTTTGACAACAGTACGACTTCTCCCTCAGACCTCCAACTTAATGTGACACACTATTACAGTAACTGGTTTTAGTTTAGCAGCTATCCGGACGACTTTTTTGATATAGTAGGACCCACAGAAACACAGGTTCCAGTCGATGTGACTGATTGTGTAGTCGCGATATGTAAGGTAGTAGCTTTCGAGGGTGGGTGGTGGGAAGACCTAGTTCTAATTCGAATGATTAGATTAGCGGAGTACAATTGAAATGGTACAAAACCACTATAATTTAAAAGGTGTCGCTTAGTTCATATTTCCCCCACAAAGACTGAGAGCTTTCTCTGAAATTGCGCTAGCGAAAATTGTGTCCACATTTGACTTTATCATCTATTTTGCAGTTAACGTACATCACTTTATAACTTTGAAGAAATCATCCAATAGCTGATTTAGTGGAAGGAAATCTATGTAGTAATTCAGCCACAAGTCGTGGATTTGAACGTTAACACCAAATGAAGCAACAAGAGTTTCTAGTCAGGAGATAAGCCGTTGATGCTGCGGATATCTATATTTGGAGAATTATGACCCATTTAGTTGTTCCATTTTAAGAAAGTTCTTAAATTTATCAACGGCGTACTGGTCAGTTAGACAGATCTTTTATGCAGGGTCCGTTATTGTGTCCAAATTAGTTAGGTGAAATTATCAAGCCACTAGTTTCTGCACTTCGTCACCTGGTATGGCGACCCTGAAGACGGCATTAACTTGCATTAGGGGTACAAACGAGCCAAATTAATGACTGTATTCAGGCTGTCAAGATCAGTCACTATAATTACTTGTTGAAAGCAAGTAATCGTTTGCATTTTTTATAAAACTTGGCAGATTTGTTTTTGATTGAATTTTATTTCCTCTTCCATGTGCTGAGAGATTCACTTGCATATTTCTGCTTGTCGCCATTTGACTAGCCTGATATATAGCCTTCCTGCTGTAGTTCCGTACGAAAATAATAAGAATGTTAGTTATTAGTTTTTTTAACGTCTTGTCATGTTTCAGTTAGCTAGAACCGCGGCAACTACGGTACTTGGGATTCGTACTTAGTGTTTCCTGTGTGATGTTTGTCAGCTACAGTGGACTCATGATTGCTTGATTACTAGTTATAATGAATAGATAGTGTGGTATATTCTCTGTTGATATTTTCGATACATTTGTTGTCATTTTACTGGTTATTGGTTATTGTCAAATGATAGAAATGGAGATTTTCACTGGGTGGAAATCTTACATTTAACTGAACTGATTCATAAATCAAGTGAATACTTTCATTATTTACTGATTTCATTATGAATCTTTTCTTATAGTTATAAATGAACACACCAACACAACAATTTTCAAAGAATGATAACATTCCTGAATCTTCGCCTGGTCCTGAAGCCACGGAAAGTACTACAAATAAGCCAGATGACAGTGATTTGTTGAATCGGTCTGCATTTCGAAGGGATAGTGGTTCACGTTCGGCCACAAAAAAGGTTAAGATCGTGGATCCTAAACAGAATGTTGAGGGCGATTCTGATGAAGAAGATTCCATATCACAACATAATACTGGTAATATTCCCGTGCTTGGTGAATCAGTCTCTGCTGTTAATTGTGGTCAGACAAATGACCAACAGGCAGCTTCTGCAGCTTCCATCGATCGCAAAAAGACGAAGGAGGAACGGAAGAAAGAACGTGAGAAAAAGAAAGAGGAGGAGATGTTAAAAAAGTATCAGGCAGAGCAGGAAGCTAAACAAAAAATATCAGCGAAGTCTAAATGTGGTCGGTGGATAAAGCATAATTTAAAGGTATTTATAACCTCGGGTTGTTACGATTTTTGACAGATTGGTGAAGGGGGCTATAAATTTGTTTACCGTGGATACGATAGCGTTGAGGCAAGAAACGTTGCGTGGTGTGAATTTAAAGTAAGCCTTTTAATAGTTGTTTACAGTTGGTAGCGTGAACATGTTGATACTAAAGAAAAGCGTCAGGCAATGTTCCGAGAGACAGAAATTATGTTAAAAATGAACCACCCCCACATCGTCAGGTGTTTTGATGTTTTCAGGGAGTGGATAGATATGGAAGATCCAAACAATCAAATTGAAGAGAAAGGAGTTGTGATTATTCAAGAATTGATGGGTGAAGGGACCTTAAAAAGGTATTACTTCAAATTTCATGGTTTTACCATAACTTTTTTCTTAGTATTATTAGAAAGAATTTCCTAGATGGTCAGTGTATACTTAAGTTCCCCCTTATCACACGTTGGTGGCATCAAATCTTAGATGCTTTGCGTTATATGCATCACAAAATACAACCACCTATTTTACATAGGGATTTGAAAGCCGATAACTGCTTTTTGTATGGTGCTTCAGATGAAGAGTATTTGAATGTGAAGGTTGGAGATTTCGGTTTGGCTACTCATGTTAGCAATAGCGGAAGGAAAACCATGCTTGGTAAGTATCCTGTTTATGGAAGCTTATTACCGTATGTATCTTGTAACATTGAGTGTAACATTTTCGTTATCTGCTTTCACCACCTGATTAGGACATTCCATTTGCTCACAGTGTTCATGATAAGTTTCAATGCATTTTCAAAGCTTATAAAACTAAAGGCTATTCGTTCACCAGATTGTGGTGAGTACTAGGTAAATAAATAAAATTCTTTTGTGTTACTGGTATAGTATAAGGTCTACCTGTCATACATGTTTAACCTTTTTCATATTGGAAAGCTTTGAAAGGTAAATGTTCTCCACGGAATCCAGTAAGTGTTGCAAAGTAATGAACAAAGCAAGTCATAGTACAGCGTTTGCTCATAAAAATAGGTTTTGCAACATAGTATCACTTTGAATATCTAACTTTTGTCCAAACTTCTGTGTACATTGTTTTAGGTACTCTTGGTTTTATGGCACCAGAAATTTTCGATGAAAAATATGATGAAAAAGTCGATATATATGCATTCGGTATGCTGATGCTAGAAGTGATGACAAATCGTACACCGTACGATGAGTGTGAGACAGTTTTGCAAGTAGCCGCTAAAACGATGTCTGGTCAAGGTCCTGATATCATGCAAATGGTGTCAAACCCTTCCTTACGTGAGGTAATATGCGCATGCATACAACCCTTAACGTGTTTTCGTCCTACTGCTGATGAGTTGTATTTCCATCCGTTATTTCAAGTAAGTGTAACTTCTCTAATTGGTATTGCAGAAGTTATTAAGTATGAGGCGATTTTTGAATTTAATTAACATTACTTACATTTCCAAATGATATTGTGTTTTTTTCTAATGTATGTATAAAATTTACTAAAGAAGATACATTCACTCACTTTTTAATGGGATAACTCCATTGTAGATAAGATTTTATTTTGATAAATCACACAGTGTTATACAGTAATATTAACTGATGACGTTTCGGGCACAAACGATCGCTCATAATCATATGATATGATTAATAGCTCTCCGATCATCAATATTTGAGTTGCTGAATAATGTTATTCATCTTCATTTAACAGATGTGATCCATAGAGTCAGGGTTAAATTTACGCAGGTATTTTTTGTCTTTGTAAAGATGAATAGATAATAAAGTATTGTAACTATTTTTCCAATACTCAAAAGTGGGAAAAATCACATTGAAACCACCTGTTAATAATCTGTGCATCTGAAAGAGTATCTAATGTGTAATAGGTTAAATTCCAGTTTTAAGGAATTTTAATTTGATCACTAACCGACATAATTTTGTTGCACCCTAGTATATGAAAGCAGTGATGATAATAATAATAATAATTTGTAGATGCCTTTTAATAGTTTCTACGCTCGCCCACTATTTTTTTAAAAAAATCACCAGAAATATCAGGATGGCGACGATTCATGGGTACGTAGATTATTCGCTGTCATTTTTTAAAAACTTTTTCACGTGTGGAAGGCTCCATAATTGTCGCTGAATAAATAATATTCAATTCTATTTTTATCAGGTTTAAGGTTCAGTTTGCTTCATTTTTATTTCACTGATAACACCTGGAGTATTGTTTATTCTACTGTATTCTGTCAACGAAGTTTTATGCAGATTTGATCAGTACTCTTATGATTCATGATTAAATATTTATTCCCTTCTTAACTTTCCTGATATTGGCTACATGCCCTATATTTTATTTAATAAAAATAAGTAGAATACTTGATAGCTAATTCTAGGTGCGGCTGTAAAACAGCTATTAAGAGTGGGAATAGTTAAGCTGGTCTGTTACAGGTATTCGATGATGGATGTTTTGAACTCACTGTGTATGTCTAGTGAGAAACTGCCCAGAAACGATAGTCAGTTTAGTAACCTAGTTTTAAGTATGCGTTCAACAGCCTGAAAGTAATAAAGCTACCCAACTATGTTTTATAAATGAAAGCTACCTTAATTCAATTTATATGGCTAGCTAAAATGTATCAAAAGTATGTGATTTTTTTTTGGTGATTGAAATCAGTTGTCTAGGTATTTTGTTGACATATCGAAAGTGATCATAGGTGTTGTTGGTATTTTTCTACTCTTTCCTTAGATTTTATTTTTATTAGTGTGCTTTTGTTAGTTGAACATGATTCTTTGATTTGATCAACTTTTTTTTTCGCATTTTTGCCTGTATATGTTAAAATGTGTGGAAATATGCGCCAGGAAAATGACTTTTTTATGTATCCACAATGCTAACTGTAATATATATATATATATATATATATATATATATATATATAATTCGCCTGCTTACTGGACTGCATATTTCGTGTTTGCTTTGCTTTATAATCGCTGAGTGTTGGTTTTTAGGTTGCATACAAAAGTGTGGAATATATATTCTCGATGTTTTATGTGCATAAACTCTCTATTGTTTTCAAATAATTAGTTCAATTTTGTCTCTTTCACACATTGATTTTAAATTGCTTGATAGTTTTTAGCTGTCGTTTATTTCCTCGCCTTCTTTGAGTTACACACCTCTTTTTCTGATTGTTAGTTATCCGAAAATGGAAATAGTCTACGTGATTGCAGTAGTAGTAAATATTCAAGTTTTCTGTAAAACCTTCTTATGGAAATCACGTACATAGCAGTTTTAGTCACATGCCTCTATTTAGTAAACGTAGTCGAAAGTGATATTTCATGTCAAAAGCTGACTTGATTAGAATTTTCTAAGGACCTTGTTTTATAGTTGAGTAATAACTTATCATAGTTGAGTAAACACGTCATTTAGTGGGTCAGTGATTTAATTTTGAGCATTTTCCAAGTAATGCATACTCATGTAATCGAGAATTATTATTTCATATTTGATAAAGCCATTAATAATAGTCTGATTTCAGTTGCCGGTTTTGTTTAGATATTTTAGGCCCAAACTCAATCTAGCTAGTCAGTTGAAGGTGTTTTCATTTTTGAGATTAGCATATGGGTAGCAGATGACAGTAGTTTGCATTTAGAGGTACATTTGCCTTGTAAAAAATGATTGTTAAAATGCCATAGTATCATATTGAATGATAACGCCAAAAAGCTTTACGAAAAAAGGTGTAATCAGTGGGCAAAGGAATCACAGCGTATTTTGTGTTGTTCATGTCAGTGAAAGTCGACAGGCTATACTATAAATGTTGTGTTGCTGGAGTGAATGCTTGCTGTGTAAAGATTTTCATCAAAGTTTATTTCTACTTGATCATCTAAGACGTTGTTCTACCGACTTGGTAGAAGCAACATCACACCTGGATACAGATAGTTCACGTATCAGTGCGTTGACTTAGTCGGAACATATTTTACAGACGTTTGCATAGAGTTTTCATGATACGTGGATAGTATATGACATGGTCAATTTTATTTATCTTTATTTGGAGTATTGAAGTAGTATATTGATTACTGCAAGTTGCTTATACTTGTGTATGTATCAAATAATGACAATAGTTCCCCCATCAGTAGTATATACTCCCTAAATAATTTTTATTGAAAGATACTCCATGTGTATGTATAACGCACTATTTGTTTTCTGTTTTTAAACTCTACACTCTCACAGTTTTATTTAGTGTTTCACACAGCGAATACACGTCTCACATGTACTTTATGGCTTTTATCACTATTGATTTCTTCGGTATTGCCTACTTTTAACAAACGTTGTAGATTTGATGAATTCTTAATGGTCAATATAATAAATATGAGTGATGGTTTTCTAATTTTTTTTCGATGCACTTTTAGCCGAAAACTTTACCAGTAGAAGTAGAGCCAAACTACGATAACGCTACAGATCGTGCCGAGGTATTAGATCGTTTTGTGCGATCTCTTGGTAATCCAGAAACGCGTAATCCGAATTTCAACTTGCGGTTAAGATTTCGAGATAAAAAGATGTTACAAGAACTGGGATTGGATGATGGTGAATCATTGGAATTCGATTTAGATATATATAAAGCTGAGGATCAGGATATTCCCGACTTAATTCATAATTTAGTAAGTAATTTTGTTTATACTGTTGAATTGAATTCATTTCAGAAGGTACTCTTATGCACAGAAAAAATTGGCTAAGTGCATTATACTATTGAATTTCAAAAGCTTATATTTCTATTCTGTATTATATTCTTACTTCTACGTATTGTTGATAAAATGTCAAAGAAGCATGCATGTCCAATAGTGCTACAATGTTTGCAAACTTCTTTTGCAAATGAATCTGTTTTTTTCTCCATTGCTGTTCATCATTTTTATGCTTAACTGTTTTGTTCTTAGTACTAGTTTTTTTATCATTACACTGTCGTAATTGTAATGCTGTTCTGTAAATTAACTTAAGTCACATTTAGTCTTTAAGCCGCATATATTTATGGATTAGTTAAGGTCATTGTTAGCTTGATTTAATTTACTTCATAAGATTAAAAGTTGCGATAATTTAGCGTGTCACGTTTGTGAATTACACAGTTTCATACTTGAACTGTTAACAGTCGTTTCTTTTCCTTGTCTCACTTTTGGGACAATGGTGGTTTGCAAATAATTCAAAATTAGTCTAGTCTGAGTACTGATCACATTCAAGATATCTCTTTCGTTTTTCCATACTTCAGAATGTCTCTATCATTTAGTTGGTTTCGGATGAGAAAAAAATGATACAAGTCTCCTGTGTAGTGGCTAATGCCATTCAGCTTCCAAATCTTCAGTAAATGGAGTACGAATCTGACCTACATACAGTCTTACAGATGAAAGTCAAATATTTTAATCAGTGAACCATAGAATCACAAAACTGTTGAAAATTCTTATTATAGTTTAGTAAGTGTAAGCATGTGGTTAGGGGTTCAATCCCCGGCCGACGCACTCCTTTACCTTGCTAAGCCGGTGATAAGACCGGTAAGGAGGGGAGGTTGGTCATGAAGCTAGCAACCACACCCTGTAAAAATGAACACCGTTGCTACTAGGACTTCAAAATTCAAGCTGGAAATGTAAGCTACTTGTTAACCCTATTTACTACAACTTAAGTCTTTCGGTTCGTTATTGAGTAGTGTATAGCAAAAGGTGAAGCTTCCCAGTGAAATTTATATTGATTCTGTTAGGCAATCATAAAAATCAAGTTTTTTTTCAATATTTTGTCTCCAACCTTTCATAAAAGTTGCTATGGTTCTCATTGTGTTTAAATAATTAGCTTCCGGAGAAAAACAAAAACACTTCTCAATACATTACTTAATTAATTCTCTCTCTATATTTTTTTCATCAGTATTTTCAATATTTTTCTTTATAATTTCTCCAATTATGCATTGATTTAGGTCAATAATCATATGAACTGTAGATTGTGAGCATTAAATTCACTTGTGGTATTAGTGTATGCCTACCCTCATTGACATTAGAAAATGTGTCAAAATTTGCATCATTCAAATGTGACAAAGCTATTAATAGTGCAGCAGAATCAAATATGAAGCATAGTTTGAACTTTGAAATAGTTTTTCCCTTTGATAAACTTTAATGTGAAGGTATTCAGAGATTATATTTTTGTAGAAAACACTACGAAATGATATCATCTTGCAGTATTTATCTTTTTGAATGACAGTTTGAAATGTCTGCAATAATCTAATACGTTCTTCATTCTGTGCTTCTAAGCTTTAAAATCAGCGGCGGTGGCATAGCGGTTAGGACGCTCGCCGACCATGCACATGGTCCGGGGTTCGATCCCCGGCCGATGCACTCCTTTGCCTCGCTAAACCAGAAATAAAGCTGGTAAAGAGGAAAGGTTTGGCATGAGGCTAGCAACCCCATCCTGTAAAAGTAAACACCACTGCTACAGGAACTTCAAGCCTCTAGTTTGAAGCCCTATGTTCCACTGGGAACGTGAAGGAATAAAAAATGCTTTCAATCAACTTAGTCTTATCACATGATGAAATCTTCACCGTCCGTATAACTGAATTTCCTTGTAGAGAATATTTTACTTTATGGTACGGTGCTCAGTAGAATATTTTTTTTATCCTCTAAGGGAAGTTCCAATGTTTTATTGTTGCATTTTGTTACTTGTCAAGTGAAATGATTGAAATTTTAGTCTAAAATATCAGGTGTTTTATAAGTTTTCATCACACCATACACTATGCTTGACTTTCAAATTTCCTTTTCTTCTAGTATTCAAAAGACAATAACTTAATCCACATGATACTTAGTACTCAACTTAGTATTTTTTGCCCAGTTTGTTTGCTGTTCTATGCATGCTTTATCTCTCTCTCTCTCTTTTTTGAATCCAGAGACTTGGATATGAAGATAAGTTGTGGCGGGTATTTGAAAATCCTAAACAACCTGATAAGAAAATTGTTTCAAATCATCTAGATAAACTTTTCAGCAGTATACGACTACAAATGCAATTTCTAGTGAAAGTTTTATTGGGTAAACGGTGGAAAGCGATTCTCGACTCATTGGTTGAAGAGCAGCGTACACGAAAGAAGCAAGAAGGTGCTTCAACTATTGATGAAGACGACCAAAGTGATACAGATGCTTGTAAGTGAATCACGTAAAAATAATATCCAACTTTTATCATTCACTACCTATTTGTGGCATTTTTTGTACAAGCAAATTGTGTTATAATTAAAATTCAAAAAATCATGTTGTTTATAAGTGTAAAGTAAAAGTTGGGTGAACATCTTAAACTCATTTACATTTATCTTGTTTACAAGTAAGATGTTTTTAACTCTACATCTATTGCATAACTAAAATAGTTTCATTCTAACAGTATTTTTGTTTCTTAAACATGCAGATATGTGACTTTGTTGTTGTCGCCTAACCATTAAGATCTTAAAGGATTGATTGAATGTTGTCATCGTTTCTACTGTATTAATTTCTCCAATACCTTATAATCTAATTAAGTCAACATCTTGGCCACTTTAGTTGTATCATTATTTTAATTAGCATTATGTTTATGGTGATTATGGTTATTTAACATTTAATCTAGAATTTATTAGATGGTTGGGGACAATCGACGGAAAGCTTTGGATCTAGGTTTCGTGCTTGTTGACACTCGTCAGTAGGGCATATCTTCAGTTCCTTCAAGTTTACAGATATTACCGTGTTATCGAGTGCCAACAGGCACGAAACCCAGGTCCAAGGCTTTCTGCCGATTGCCTCCAACCTTCTAATAACAATAATTCAGAGTGCACCGTGATGATGAGCCACCTAGCCATGATAGCCACATTGCAGAGTTGACTGGTAGAATTCAGTCTGTACCAAATGTAGGACTAGATCCACGACACTGGTTGCTAACCACCTAGTGTTCAATCAAAGAATCCAGAATTTTCACAAATATATTGCGACTGGTATCGCATTTGCTTATTTAACGTCCTAAACTGTTTTATATACCAAATTACTGATACATTGTGAATAATAATAATGATAATAATAATATTGGGGGAAATTAGTAGGTTCACATACAAGTTCTTGCATCAGACTTAATTATGCATCTGTATTTCACAAAGTTTAGTGATACTTTCTGATTTCACATAGTGGAAAGAAAGTCATAATCGTGACCTATAAGTGGGAAATCGAATACTTAAACTTGTATGCTTTTACTTTACAGAATTAGTAAATAAAAGGATTGCTATACATGCAGGATAAAATTTACGTGTACTCAAAGATTATTTGTGTTTGTAGTAAGCTGTGTTGAAGGATTTCTATTCCTGTTACTGATGCATATCAATTCAGTTGAATTACTAGTATCTTTTGTTTTGGATATAGTTTTTTTTACAGTTCCCTGCATCATATTGTCTGACTTTTCAATATGGTGAATTATGTTCATCTTGTCATCGGTTTTCTAGAAATTCCAAAAATACCTGTTGACTGATGCCCTGGTTTGTGTGTATTCATATTACTAAGGATGAAAGCATTTAGTTCCGTATTAGTTACATTGGATCGTGTCCTATTTGTTGACTTTGTTTCTTTTTTTCCGATTGTGTTCCTCTTCAGTGCTGTTGCTACAGATGATAAGTAGTCAAACTGGGTCGTATGTACTTCCACTGCCTACCTCATTCTTTTCACAGTTCAGATTTTTATATGGTTTCCTCTGCTATGGAAGTTTTTATCATTTCTATGTGATGATGGTTTAGTATTTAGTAAATAATGTAGTGAAGTAGTTCTTTTCTATTCTAATTTCGCCTTTTTCAATTTACAGATGACACAAGCAGCTTCACTATTATCGGGAAGTATAAGAGCAAATGGAACAGAGCCAAAAAATTGTTAGAAAAAGAAATCCAGGCTTATAGGAATTTGACAGCGGTTTCTTCCGCCGGTTCCTCAGCTGTTACATGCAATGCAGTTACTACTGGTGCACCTGCTGTAGCTGTTTCAGGTACTTCTGTTACTCCGTTAATTGTTGGAGGTATGACCCAGCCGCAGATGGATACAAACCACATCCCTCTTAGCGGGACTAATATTATGACTCCTGGGCAGATTCCTCCAGGCCCTCAAAGTAAGATAAGCACCGAATCCATTGATATGCATTGTCAGAACTTAGAGGGTTCTAACCAGGTTTCTGTTGCAAATAGTGGTTTAACATCAATTGGTAAATTTACTGTCACGATCCCACCAAGCGCCACAGCCGCACCGGTCACTCCTAATATTCTCCCGCTGTTGTCTAATAATGGGTCAACACCAACCCCAACTCCAGCTTCAACACCGATACCACCACAGAATACTGCAACCCAAAAGACCTCAGAACCTCATATCTCTGCGTATCCGAATAATTCATCTGTTCAACATCCATCATCTATTTCAATGAATACCGATGTAAACGCAGTTGCTAGACGACCAGTTTCTGACCACAGCACTGCATGTAATACAACATACATTTCTTCACAGCCATCTGTTGTTTCACTAGCTGGGGCTTCACAACAGGGAGTGAGTCAAAAGCAACCACTACAATTTCAGACACAACAATCTGCTCCTGTAATGAGTACACCTCAGAGTCAGGCAGGTGTTTTCGTTCCTTCTCAGGCATCTGTAGGCAAGTCAGATGCTGAAGTTATTGCAGCGAATAATATGGATACGATTGCTCGTTCAGCCATGATACTTCAACAGGTGCTTCAGGGGATTACATCAACTTCAGTAGCCAATTCGTGTATTCCATCTTCAGAAACTGTCTTGGGTTCCCAAATGGTGAGTCGCATATTTGTATATATATATATATTAATATATATATATATATATATATATATAATATTACAGTAGTGTTTTTGAGTTATGTACTTAAAGCTACGATATAGTCATGATTCATTAATAATTATGGTTTCTATTTTAGCAAACTATTCAACAACCTGTGCCAGTATCTACTTCAGGAAATTGTATACTGGCGACCGGATTTCCCAGTCCTAACCAACAGATAATTGTAAATCAGCAACAGCAAATGATGCTCGCAGCTGCAGCTGCCATTGCAGAACAAGCAGTGACAGCGGCTACAACTGCAGCTGGTCAGCTATCATCCACCCCTTTATCACAGATTAGTAATATGGCGCAGCAGAACTCTACGGGTTTAGGCTGCGCAACCAGCCATTTTAGTGGTCTGCAGTCGAATGCAGTCTCATGTTGCTCTGATCAAGTTAGTATGCTTTTTATCTTTAAAATTGCTTAATAATTCAAATGCGAGTGGATATAAAGTCAGGTGGAATAAAAGCCAAGTACTATGAAAGTAGCCTCAATCAATTGGAATTCACAGTACTTGTAAATCTAAGGTTTTTTGTATATCAAGATTTTAGATTAGTCGGTTGGTCTGACATATTGACTTGTGTAATGCTTCAGTATCACATAGTTTTGAACTCCTCCCGTCTTTTGTTTGTATAGTTAACATAGTGTCTGTGCACATAGTACTGTGGTGAGAGATGGTTGCTAGCCAAATTGGTTGACAGTAATTGAGGTCAAAGGTCAAGATGAACAGGCGGATACAGTTAAAATATAGATGAACTGACACAGCCACAAGAGATGCAAGGTTAACTTTGTGTGAGAAACAACCAATCAACAGACTGTATTTTCTACTGACATTAACCTACAATAATGTACATCAAAATCTATAAATACGTGTTGATTTTCCGTAATAAACGTTCTGTTACCTGGCCCTTGTCTTCTGTTGTTACAGTACTACTTAGTAGGCAGCTGTACAGAAAATCTCGGTGATGTAAAACGCTGCGATTTTGTCAACTTAAGATCATTTGTTTTGTATGCCAAGACGTGATTCAGAGCTTTGATTTGAGGACGGGCTCAAACCTTATATATACATACATATGTATAAGGCTTTTTAGTTTCTTACCTGTCAATCTTGTGACACTTGTCAGTATCGACCAGCTTGATTTTTTCTTTCATTCATGTACACGTGATCACTGTGCATAAATTACACAATTTAATATGCATGAAAAATGAAAACTTATAAAAATAAGTTCGGTATTTTCATTTACTTTATTTATCAAGTAAACAGTTTTTAAATGTTTGTCTTTATTTGCATCTGGCTATGGTTACTAAGCTATACACATACGTCTTATTGTTTACGTGGCGTATTTTAGGAGGGGGTGAATCAAGGTCAATTGGTCAACACTGGTTTCATGGTTCCACTTCTTAGTGATAGTCATTCGACAATGCAACAATTACAACAGCCTACAATACAGCACAATCAACAGTTTCAATCACAGGTTACAGCAATGAACGTAAATGATAATACTGCTTCAAGTATGCCGTCTATGACTCCTGGTTTAGGGGTTATCGGTCAGAATACTTCTGCTCCTCAGAGTGAGTTTTAATCGTGATATATAGCTATCATTGAATACCTTGAATATGCCGTTTCTTTCTATTTCCTTGTCTTATTTTGTCTATTTGATAAACTGTACAATTAAGATGAATAATATAGGGAAGGATTTGGTATCGGTCCGCTTTCTTTGCCGTCCAAACACAAGTATGATGCGTTTACCCATCTTTTTTTGTATGAAGACCGAATGTCAAACTAATCAGCGAAACGTGCAACACATAGTCTAAACATTAAAAAAGTGATTTGCCATTATTGGGAATGAATTATATACTTCGATTTGTATAGGCCGTATGAAAGTTTGTGTGGCAACTGTAGCAATTTTAAGAGTAATCGACTGTACTCTACTTGGTGATTAATACCATTTTGTATTATATGCACAATAAAATGGAACTGTATATCACTTCAGTGTCAAAATTCTATTTCCGTATTCTCTTTTCCTCAGCAATATAGTTACTGTGTTTGTCGCTTTCAGAACACTGATCTCCATACTAGCCTCCTGCAACATGCGCTTGGTGATTGCTTATTAGGTTTTTTCCATTTACTCTACCTTACTTTTGCTTTGTCTAGAGAAATAACAGAGAGACTTGATATTGTTAGTAATACGACTGTGTGTTTAACACCAATAGTTCTAGTTTGAATTTACATGAAATCTCAACTTTTTCCCCAAGGGTAGTTTAACACATTGTATCTTACGGGTCTGCATTATATGCTACCCAGGTTAATTTGACAAATATCCGACTACTCCTTTTCTTTTATCCCAGTGTAGTTTATTTATCTTATTGTCTGTCTATCTATCACTGTCCTGACGTACCTACTGGTGATTTTTTCCCAGATAAATTTATCTGTGTACCTATAGGTAGGTGCTAATGATCAACGTGATAATAAATGCATAATTGTTTTTTTGAAATAACATTACAGCGAAAATGATTTGCTAGAATAATATGTTAATCTATGCAGGATCGAGATGATTACAAGTAGGGAGTTATTTCTGCACTGTGGTATCTATTTAGGTTTATGGACAGTTCCCTTTTTTAGTATTGGAGGAATGAAATAGGCGCCTATATTTAACATTTCGAAAATGACTTTTAAAAATAGTTTCTAGCTATAAAATAGCTTGACTCTTTATATGTAGCTCTTTTTTTAAAAAAGCCGTCAAGATCATTGAGAGAAAAATTAAGTTATTTTGTGTTACTTGAGAGTGTTCACCGTCTATCGAGTATGATCATAAGAATATAAATAAAGGTTTTGTGCTTATACTATTAGTCAAATATATTGTGTGGAGATGTGGCGCATTGACTTAGGCACTCGACTTTCAAACAATGGATCCCGGTTCGAGTCCCATCCCACCTACTTTAACCTGGTTAACTAAACTAACACATATATTGTCAATGGTAAAACTACGTTTGTATAGTGCATATCAGCGAACGGCTGAAAAATTAATATGACAATTGATCAATGTACTTCTATGCTGTTTCTTATACTGGTTAGCATGTTAATAAACTTTGTTGAAGTCTCTTCCGTACATATTTTGATATCCCTGCTTCTTTATTATTTCGCCTAATGGGGCTTTATTTATACTGTTCTACGCTGATAAAGTTACTGGTCACATCTTCTGGCATCTACTTTATTAATCCCACTCCCCGTTTTCTTTATCTTATTGATGTGAACTTCGTGGACGCCTTTCTACTTTGGCCAATTTGATTTTAATCTCAAATGTTTATTTATAATCTCACAGTTTTCTGTCAGCTGTTGTACACTAGGAGTAATCAGACTTTTTAAGACTTAAAAGTCCATTGATTGCACAACATCATTTAATTTAGACCTCAAGTTGTAATGCAAGCAGTTATATACTCAAATCCTAGTTCCTAGCTCCTAAAAAGACAGGAAACCACTGGAGACATGTTAAACCAATAAATGTTTGTTGAAAATGCTAGAAAGTTACGCAACAACTCATGTAAGAGTATAGTCTGAATAATTTTTGTAAAATCAATGTTAGAAATCCTCCTAGAAAAATGAAAATTCAGTAATTTGTCAATAGGTAAACGGAGCTGTGTTTCTGCCTACCTAATCACATTATAAAGCTTCGATCATTTTACTGCTTTTTCAATTTTTTGAGGATCAAATAACTGTGGTTAGGTAGAACTGAGTGATTGAAATGCAAGTGTTTTATTTCATGTATCCACACGGAAAAACGAAGGAATTACTCTACTTTTAGCACATTGTTTTCTAATGATCATATCTAAACTGTTCATCAATTAACATCTGTGCAGTCCGATTTCGCTGTTGAGAATTATCTGTTTGAATTTCGGAACACCTTAAGGTGCATATTTTTGAGGGAAAGAGGTTAATTTGTCTTGTGTTAGTTTATAGTATACATGAATTGAAAGCATATATTTAATTGGTGGATGGTGACTAGCAGTGGAATCCAGGATGCGCATTTCGTCCTATTTGGGACTCGTCACCTGGATGTACCTGCATTTCTCAGTGAGTGATGATGTTCCCACCGAGGCTCGAACCCAGTGCCCATAGTTTCCAACGCCAAAGCGTTATCCACTAGACCACTTTGGGCCACGAGAGCCACCTCTTGTGCAACGGGTCATATTGATTTAATTGAATTTTAGATTTTTCCCGTCGATTGATTGGACCGAAGTGCTCGATCCAGCTGACGAGTCCCAAATGGGACGAAATGAGCATCCTGGATTCCAGTGCTAGTCACCATCCACCAATTAAATACTAATTAAATGCCCAGACATCGTCGAAGCATCTGCTCAAGAAGCCGACATGTCAACCTGAGACCGACCACTTCGGTCCAATCAATCGACGGGAAAAATCTAAAATTCAATGAAAGCATATATTGCTCAGCAACCACATACACACATCATTGAATTCATCAGTGAGCTACAACAACAGCGTCTCACTGCTTTCTTCGCCATTTCACGAGAAGGTGACGAAATAAAAGATGGTACCAATTTATTCTGCTAAAACTGTAGTTCTTGCTTTGTTCAAACAGGGTTAAGGTTAGCTAATCCAAACCTCACCAGGTGTGGATCTTTTCACAAATGAGATCTCGTATGTATATGTTTCTTTACGGCAATCAAGAAGATGGTCTCTTTTAGTTTGTGTCTCCTACTCTCTTGCTTTTCATACAGATTAAGTACTTTTATGTGTGTACACTTTTATTCTTCACTAACATCCTTTTCATCCTTTCTCTTTCATGGAGAAATGGACATTTTAGAGTTCACATTTCCTGGTCAATCGATAATTATTATTTTTTAATTGTCTTTTAATTTACAAGGAGTTTCCTTTTATTCCATTTTAATCACTTGATTTTCTTTTTTGTCTTTGCTACTAGTTATTTGACTATAAAATCTACTTTTCCCTCCTTTTTAACCTTGCATGCTTTTAATTTTCTTGTTCCATCTATATATATATATATAGCTATTCTGTTTTTTTATTGATCCCATTTTCGGTCAGGTTTTACGTTCATCCCTTTTAGTTAGAAATATTACACATTGTATTGTGTAATAATGTGTGATGGATGTATCCTTTGTATCTTTGATATTTTTATCTTCACATAAAAACATGGACTTCTTTTTCTTTTCAGTCACAGTTACCTTGATTATTATTGCATGTGTTGACGTTGTTGTGACTGTCTTATGACTATGCAATTTCATGTTGTTGTTTTTTTTTTTTAAAGAAAAATATGTGTAGTAATTATACATTTTAATAAAAGATGTTTGACAAACTGAACGAATGCACTTTTATGCATAGTATCATATATTTCTGCCTATCTTCGACTATCTGCATAGATAGATAGATAGATCTTATTTATGTTTTGGTTCAATGGCATAAAAAGTAAATAACAACAACAACAACATTTTTTGTGGCTTATTTTGAAAGAAACCATTGAGAAATGCCTTCATATTGTATTCCCCAATTGATTCTAACTGAACAGCATAGTTTTAGTCATATGTACCAGAAGATTGACCACAGTACTCATGCTTACATTAATTTTTAGATTCGTTTCGTGATGACTATTGACAAACATACAGACAAGCACATAACATGTATTATTGGTGTGAATAGTGGTCGGAATTATCACACAGATATGTGTACATGTTAAGGAGAAGGTAAAAGAATGAGATAGAAGAAAGGTGGGAATATATGATTGGAGGTGTTATTGAGTGTTATAAAACAAAATGAAGGGTAAAACCACTACAATAAAACAAAATATCGTAATATAGAGGTGAATAAAGAGCATGATTACCATTCAGATTGATTCTCACCTATGCTACGGTTATGTAAACCTCAGTTGGACCACCTCTGTACTTTCTTTTTATTGTTATTTCTCTTCTAAGCAGCTGTTTTAAGAGTAGCATGTATTCAAAGTAAGATTTGCTCCTCGTTCAGTGCGTTGGGAGTGCTTTTTTTGCAGATATATTCCGTTAAGTAGTCACTGAAGAAGCCTATCCCAATAACTGTGGTGCTTATCACTATAAATCTATTCGGAGGTAGATTTTGGCACCGAGAAACTCAGGGTTTCAGGAATGCCATAAGTAAAAGTCTGAGTGTATTTATCTAATACAAGATGGTGTTACAACTGCTAGTTTACATTAGTTCGGGAAGTTTCATCTGCCTTATTGGAGTGATTAGTGACAAAAGACCTGTCTGACATTTGTGTTATCGATGGTAGCTGCAAGATATCGTGTTACCTCTCAGAGGGTGAGCGTACTATACATCAGTGAATTGTGACCACTAAAAGTAGAATGTTTTACAGGTTTTTGATCATATTTTACTGCGAATTGAACCACACGATAAGTAGTGTTGGAATTGAATGTATTATTATTACTGTTGTTCCTTTGGGTCCCGAGTGGAACCTAGGGATTCAACAGCACATCTCAGTTTCATCCTGTTCTCTGCCATCCTCTTTAGATGACCCCATAATGGCCCATAGCCTTTCATCTTCTCCTCACATGGTCTCCCCCATGTCACCCACGGATGTCCCACTAGTCTGTTTTGTGTCTGTTGGTACTTCTCAGTCGTCCGGTTTGAAGGCGATGAAATGGTATTCGAATCTAGTGCCCAGTAGTTAAAGGGTCAAGTGCTAAATCCAATGAGCCACATTTCCAGCGTATATTTGACTGTTTGTGTATGTATATCTGGCTACTTTCACTACTGCTGTTCATTCCTTTGTTGCAGTTTTTTTTTAAAATTTTATGTACTGGAAATAACTCCACATTTCACTTAGATGTATATACTTATATGTTTTCATTTATAGATGAAGGTTTTGTTCAACCTGAATCCGATATTCACCAAAAAACCGATGTAAGCAAATGTTTTCATTTGATTTTTTATATATTTTTACTGTATTCATGAGTAAAGTATCAATCAAATAAGCGTGACTATTATGTGATTTGTTAAATGTTACTTACGTTGTAATGATTAGTTGTATATATATATATATATCATATTGCTGCACTAAGTATTCAGTGTGATTTTAAGTCTACTTTTTGTCTCTTAAAAAAATATGTTCGCATAGCAATCTCAATTACTGATGAATTCAGAGCAAGTTTCACTCATAAATCAATTAACTGAAGTTCTTATGAATAATGCAGCTCAAGGACTTCTTCTAAGCGGAAACAATTATATGCTCAATTCACAGCCGACTCAGCAAACAATGCCAAATAATCAGCCAGCGTTATCACAACTCCCATCAAGACAAGTTTCTCTACAACATCAACAACACCAACAGCCGCAGCAGCAACAGCAAAATCAGCCTAGAAACACAGCTCCAACCTTTAAAGTGAGTAGAAAATATTTGTATGATTTATTCATTAAAATCGTAACACTTCTCTGATTGGACACTAGTGAGTAACTAATGTCCAGTTAAGCTATCCATTACAATCCTACAGGAGGTCAGTTACGAGCCTGAATAGCTCATTGGTGACTTCTTCGACTGCCACACTGTGTGACCTCCAGATTTGGATCTTAAAAGGGACAGGAGTTTCTTCAAGATTGCAGTTACACTTTGCTATCTGGTGGGTGGTAACAAACACGAGACCAAGGTTGAAGGCTTCCTTCTGATCCCCTCCAAACATCTAACAATTGTAGCAATTGTTCGACAGGAGGAAATCGGTCTTCGTCTCCGATTGCTTGGTTTCAGTTTATTGTTAATGGTTAGCGAAGGAAGGGAAACACCGAGATTACAACACACTTTATTCAATGAAACAGTTTAAGATTGCTTTTCTCAGACAAACATATACCATATTATTTACAGTGTGTAATATCCAATGTTCTAAAAGTATGTAAGTATAGTTGCACTGTCCCTTATTCATGTTGTCTTCCTAATAAACAGATTCATTAATATTATGCAAAGACCGATATGCAGAGAAACCGTTTCATTTGGTGGAATATTTATCAACTTCTGAAGGTCACTTAGTAATCAGATCCAATAAGTTTCTATTTTAAGTGTTTACTTTAACTATATGTACACTAATTTGTTTTAATTTGTGGATCGAACCGGCATATTGTTTTTTTGTTAAATAGCCTACTTCTGATGACCTTATTTGTCTCGATAATAAAAATGGCGGTTAGATTCTCTACAATTACGATCAAAAGATTTATGGGTGGAAATTGTAATTGATTTCTACGAAGCTATGACAAAAATATCATAAGTTTGTTGGATTCTTAACTTGTAACTAATTTCTATACACTTGGTGTGCAAGATCTGGCAACCTCACTTTTGTTAATATCGCTTTATTGTCGTCTCACAAATAAAAGCGAAGCAGCTGTCCATTAGTTTTTTCATTGGTTCTTTTATTGGCACTGACTCTTAATGAGAACTGATTCTAAAGTTTATTTGCTTATATGTTCGATTTTCAACTGCTTTTGGCCTACTGTTTTTGTAAAAGCAGTAATTATTGTTACCAAGTTTTTGCCTGAAAAAAAACACAAAATATATATGATTTTATAAATTCCTTGTGTAGGTAACTGATAAAACAATGGTGTTGTAATTCATGCGCTGGTTAGAATATTATTCTGTTTAATTGAAGAGTTAAACTAATTTACGTTTACATAGTAAACATATTTCTCGTTAATTGGCAAAAGCAGCCTTCATCTTTATCTTGACTATTTTCAATGAAGAACTATTCAAACCTTGGTTTAAGAGCTCTGTTGCCTGGATGCAACTTTCTATGCCTCTGACCATAAGCCACATTTGTTAAATGTCGGACGATGATATTATTCACTTGCCCAAGATGATGTAAGCGTAAAGGCTTTCGAATCTTGGGCATATTGGCGAAAAGTTGGGTACTTAAGCCAATGAGCCACATAGAAAATTGATGTTAACAACAAGCGTCTATTTGAATTTATGTGACCTACTAACTGCAGCTGATGATATGCATACCTTTAAGACTATTTTTTTTACTGTGTTTTCAAACTGGTTAGAGTAGCGTCACCACTATATATCTCTTACATCATGCGTTAGAATGCTATTATCTACATATGATGTATAGATTACAAATGACGTCAGGTTGTGTGTGTGTGTAGATTTTCTTCTATTGTAATAGTATGCGTGTGACCTAGTAAATCGTACTTGGCATAATCAAGATGTATGTTTTAGGGAACCTTCTAAGAATTATTTAGTTGAATTCTAGATTTTCCCGTCGATTGATTGCACCAATGTGCTCGTTCTCAGGTTGACATGTCGACTTCTTGTGCAGATGCTTCGACCTTCTAAGAATGTGTTATTGTTTCTTATCTTTGAAAAAACATCTGTACACATATATGCATGGATAGGTTGGGTTATTTGGATGGTAATTTAATACTCATGCATGTGTGGTACTGCTGCTTATGTACGTAATGCTCACTCACTCTCTCTCTCACTCACTCACTCACTCACTCACTCACTCACTCACTCACTCACTCACTCACTTTCACCCTTAAACACGTGAATTTGAGAACGCGTACTTTATTACTGTTACCATACTCAATTAATAATAGAGATTTAGTTATCCGTGTGAAATACGCACAGTTCATGAAGCAGTTTTCAGATTTAAAATTTCACTTACCTCTTCTTTATACTTTGCTCTCAATTCATATTCATCTAACTACGCCTATAGCGTGCAAGTTAAGTAGACTAAATCATTGTTTAGAAATGCTTAGAAATTCAATTGTCAATCATTTTTATCAAAAATTTCATTACAAGTTTTTATTGTTGTGTTTAAAAAAATATTTTCCTGTACAGAAACCTATAGTAGATTCCTAATTTACAAATGACAATAGGATACATCGAGAGTATGTTACGACTTATCTTTGTTTTAGAAAAGTCAGCCTACTGACTGAACTAATTCTATGGTTTTCTTCATTCCGATAGACTAATTCTATGTTTCCCTGTCTATCTATCGAAGTAAAAACCTTGACATGGAGCTTTGCACAGTTTCCACCTTCTTTCTTCCTGATATCTACAATGCTTACCTACCGTTTTAGCATCATCTCTAAACGACACTTTCTGAAAAGTTTTAAAATCGTAGTTTTTTGTTGATGCTTTTAATTCGCACGTCATTACCTCCATTTTCCTTATCTCGACGTTTTTGAGGGATGTAAATGATGAAATCATTAACTGCCAAAACTGATAAGACTTGTTGTCTACAGATTTCATGGAGGAGATCAGTAGGACTCTTGGCTAAAAAAAGAGAAATTGAAAACACCAGTGATTTTGTGTAGGCTCAAGAGCCTTTGATTGATGCAGTCAATTCTTTACCTTTGTGCACTTTAGGTGTATTCTGTTCATCCTTTTAAAAGAAATATAATAGAACAGCATGAATTGTGTGTGTGTGTACTTGTCATCTTTCTTTAATGTACCGGTTGAATTTTTACAACTTCAAATATTCTAGAGATGTTCTTTGTTTTCTCTTCAGAATTGTGATTATGGTTTAATTTTACTGGCTTGTACAACTTTTCCCTTATCCGATACTTATATATATATATATATATATATATATATATATATATATATATATATATAAAACTCTTCCTCCTATGCTAGAAATTTAGTTTTCATTATAGGTCTTATAACTAGCTTTAATTAGTAGTATAGTTTAGGCAGCCTGTACTAGATAATGGCACAAAGCGAGTGGATCATGGTCATTGTGAGCGTTCAGTCAGTTAAGTAGTAGTAGTAGTATATTGAATTCATTTTTCAAACTAGTCTGCAAGCACTGGTACTCTTTGGCTTCCGTCAGTTAGATATATGTACGACACTTGCGTAAAGTTCATATTCATTGTGAGAATCGTGTATGTGTATAACCAAAGTTAATGACTACCATAAGTGATTAAATTCACCTATAAAAATTATTAATGATGTAAGTTTTGATGTGGTTGTGTTCTCTGAGCTGGACGTCCCCTTCGTCTTCGTATCCACGAACATAAGCTAGCCGTCAAAAGACGTGATATCCACTCCCCCATATCACTACATGCAGACAACCACGGACATCAATTCAACTGGGACAACGATTAAATATTAGACAGAGGAAACAACAAGAATACTAGAGAATTGTTAGAAACTTAGCATTACAGTGAATCATCAATCAATAGACACATCGAGATAGACAAAATTTATCAACCGATAAGAAAGAAACCTCACACACAAAGAGTCAAAGTTCAAGTCAAAGAAACAATCAGTTCCAATACAAGTAACCTAGAAGGTGTGAAAACACACAAAACAACCTATCACGTCTAAGGTCACCAGGAGAGATGATTAATAAACTCGTGGAGAAATTTAAAAGCTTACTTCAAATTGAAGTATGCGCTGAAGATGTCGCCTATGATGAAAGCTTCGCAAATTAACTATCCAGCTCAGAGAACACAACCACATCAAAATCATCCACCTGAGCTACAAATCTTCTCCATTATATCTAATGATGTAAGTGGATTGATCTCTTAACATACTTCTCAAGTATACTGTTCTGATCATCAGTAATTTTAATTTACTGGTAAACGTTTTTTCAAGTTCTGTACGAATAATTGTTTTGAAAAATTTTGCATCAATGTTTTTCATCAATGTGAGTGAATTTTTGATTTCGAAGTCAAGTACAATGCAATTTGAAAGTTAATAACTAAATTAGAAGTAACAGTTGGACTTTTGACAGAATCAGTTTGTCACACTTGACATCACAAGCTAACTTGAACAGAAATAAAATAGTAATAAAGTGAACAGGCATAAAAGTGTGAAAAGAGATAGAATAATTAGATGAAGACTAATGAAAGTGTACAAATTTTTAAAAATGATGAGAGGTGGTGAATAAATCTGCATCATTGTGAAGGATTTTGAATCATGCCACCAACAGTCTCTAATCATCATTACTTAAAATCGAGAAGAAAAAAACTAATCAAAGTGACCTACATCTCCCCATATAGTCTGAACTAAAAAATCAATGATTTTATGGATTGATGGTATGTTGAATCTAATCATCCATCGGCCTCTTTGAGAAGAACTCAACATGTGCAACACCTATCCCGGCTACCTTAATTGCTGGAAATTGGTTGCTCCATCGATTCGATTTATGTTTGTCACTCAGCATCCGATGTTCAGTTTGCGCATCACTTGCCATGTGATTTTACTCTACATGAGTTATCGTTTGTAAAGGTGGTAGTAGTGTCGCACAGTCTTTAATTAAGTTGAAGCTATCCACTGCTTCCACCTATTACACTGTAAAAGACGTCACTTGTTTTCTTCTAAAATTCGAGTCCCCACTAATAATTCTCTATGTTAACATCTTTTTGGTCCAACTACAAAGCGTGGTATTAAGAACAGCTGCAGGTTTTCTTCGCAGAATTCTACTTGATTTTTTCGTCCGGTATGCAGTGTAGTCAATTTAGGTAATTCAAACAATACAGCCTGTTGCCAGTTTTCCGCATTTTATAATAGAATGTAAAGTTACATTTAATCACAATAACGTGTCTTATGAAATGTATTTACTGTTAATAAGTGATGGAAGTAACCAACATGGTGCAGACTCATTAACAACTGCCTTCTGTCGATACTGAAGATCCGATGGCTGGTCAGAAAGGATAAGCAGCATGGAACTTTGGGAGCAGAACAATCAAGAACCTTTTACCCAACAATATGCGAAGTGTCATCATGCACCAGGCTTTCTAGTGGAACCCGAAGGGGAAACGGTGAGTTGGGCGTCCGAAAGTGACATACAGGAGATGGTGTGAGGGAGGAGGAGGAGGAGATGAGAGCTTACGGTCAGTCGTGCAGCCAGTTAAAGAGAACTACAGATAACAGGATGGAATTGAGATGTGCTGTTAAATTCCTAGGTTCCACACGAAACCCACGGGAATAATAGTAGTATTAGTACAAGTTTCTATCTATTCAAATTTCATCTAAATGACCCTTAAAACAAACTGATTCGACCTTATAAAAGTACTTTTGGATTTTAACAGTAGTTTATTTTGTTTTATTTTTCAAAATACATAGTTCGCCTTTTCATTTCGCCATATTAATTACTGTTACACAAGTGACTAACTGTATTATGCATATATTTTACTGGTCATGTGCTTATGACAATGAGTTTACAATACATAATGAATATTTTACTCGTCTCATCAGTAACATTAATGTAGTTGGATAAGTCACCACGGTAATAATGCATTTCTAGCTAGTCATGTCAGTCTTCATGAGTCTACAGTGTATCGATTTTCATTTCATCTTTACTTGACAGTATTAATTTCTTGTAAATATTTGTGAACGAGGTGAAACATATACCCCTCAGAATTTGTGTGTGAACTACACGTAGCTGTATGCATTTTTCACATCCTTTTTGTAGTAATAATGATAATTATATTAACTTTTTGTGATGAATTTCCATTCCCTTTTCTCCTTAGCCTATTGAACGAAGAACAAGGAAAAAAGTGAAATCAAAACCCCGATATGTTTTACGTGTTACTAAAATTGAAAGGGATTTTGAAGGCTGTGAACCTGATAATTTACGACCAACATTCTATTTAGAGATGCCAGATTTGAATAATCCAAACAATGAATTATGGAAGATCACTTTTCGCTGTAATTTATCTGATACACCAGAAGATATAAAGCTGGTATGCATTAGATATTATTTTATTCTTTTTAATTCATTTTTAATTGTAGCGCTAGAATAAATGGTATATGATCCATTTATATCCGTGATATATATATATATATCCCACAAAGTTTGATATATTTCTAAACTTATGTACTAGTCATTGCCACGCTCAACTTACCCAGCATCCAACACCTCCCTGAATGGGATATAAACAGGTTCTCCTTCCCAAACTGAGGTTACCGAAGCTGTCACTAGTCTAACACGAGGCAAATCTGCGGTACCTGATGGAATGACTCCAGAGGTGTTTAAGGACAGTTGAGACAGTTTACTGTCTGCGTTAACTGAGGTACCAGACAGCGTCTGGGAATCAGCGGAAGTCCCGTCGGGTTGGTGTAAGTCATTGATTATCTTGATATACAAGAAGGGAGATAAGTCTCCCTGTGATAATCATAGGGGGATTAGCTTGACCAATATGGTATCTAAAGTTCTAAGCTCAATAATCATGCGTAGGCTAAGTGGTGCTCGGGATAAACAAACACGAGAGAACCAGACAGGCTTTAGGATAGGAAGAGGGTGTATTGGTCATATCTTCACTCTTCGACAGATTCTGGAACATAGGCATACTTACCATCGGCGTCCAACAATCGTCATATTTCTTGACCTGAAAGTGGCATTCGATTCCGTCGACTGAGAGGTACTACGGCAATGTTTGACCGTGAAGAAAATGCTGAGAAAATACATCGCACTGATCAAGGCACTCTACTCGAACTCATGCAGCCAGATGAGAGCCTATGGAGAGTTGTCATGTGAAGTGATGACAACCAGTGGTATCCATCAGGGATGCCTACTGTCCTCATTTCTGTTGAATTTCATCGTAGATGTCGTAATAATGGACTTAATCCTAACTGACTTCAGAGACTCAAGGATTGACTTGTTGCCACCAGGGAATAATCTCGTTGACTTAGAATATGCGGATGATATAGTTCTTCTAGGTGAAGACACTGACAAAATGCAGTCTTTTCAACACCTTGATCAGCAATCTTCGAATGTTTGGCATGCAATTCGCTCCTGCTGTCAAATGTAAGATGATGCTACAGGACTGGACTACATCGACTGAATCGTAGTTTACAGATAGGGAGTGAAGTGGTTGGTGGAGCGTGTTGACCACTTCACTTATTTTGGAAGTTGCATCAGCCAACGCCAGCGGGTTGATCGCTGATGAAATCTCAGCACGGATACAGAAGGCTCGTTTGGTATATGCCAACTCACTCCATCTCTGGTGTAAACGTGATATCCGGCTGGCTGTCAACCGAAGGGCGTGTATACTGCTCAGCAGTTGGCTCTGTCCTCCTTTATGGCCGTGAGACATGGATATTGAAAGTGGAAGATATGAAAAGCTTAGCTGTCTTTGATCATAGGTGTCTGCGTTATATCTCCCGTGTTAAGTGGTGGTTTAATAGGGTGAGCAATATTGAGGTTGGGCATCGGTCGATTTTAGGTGAGGAGGAGAGGGAATCAATTGACGAGGTTGTGAAGTTACATGGATTGAGATGGTTAGGACATGTGTTAGGCATGCATGCCTAGCCATCGCCTCCCTTAACGAGAAATGTTAGCTGATATAGGATCAGGTTGGAAAAGAGCTAGCGATGGTCAAACTAAAATATAGCTTCATCAGTCAATGAAATCCATAACAGTTAGTTTAAGCCAGCCATGTAGGGAGGTATAGACTTCCTGGTTGTGGTCCTCGGGATGGTAAAAACCAATGAAGACAGGAGACAATTGTTGATATGGCTCAAAATCGTTCTCAACGGCTGGCGTAGATGCATTCACTCTTTGTGATGTATAATATCCAACAAAATTCTATTTTCTTCCATATTACGGTTTGTTTTTGCTTCACAGTTCTGTTCATCATCTCTCCTTTGAATCTCCCTTTACTCTCTTCTCTTGCTTTGTGTACTACGTGGAGTGTGGCAACTTAAACTGCTGCACATCTGTGCAAAGTTCTACGTAGAAACTAGTCAGTCAGTCAGTCACTAGTTGTTCAATTGTAGTCTGTTGTTAATATTTTGATCTCATACAAGATTAGTCATAATGTGGCTTTGTTAAGTATTCAGCATCATGACTGAACGTGGAAACAAGGTGTTGTTAGTGTGACAGAAGGCCTTGATCTCCATCAGACGAAATGTGATTGTGAAGTAAAACAATTTTTTTTCAAGTTTTTGATTAAAGCTTTGTAAGCGCTAAGTATTCTCCACAGAACGGTCTCTTGAGTGCCAACGAGATACTTAGTCCCATTGACACCTGCTCAATTCTTCGGTAAGAGGGATACGAGCAAAGCAAGCAATTTTGACGCCTTATCTGGAGTATGTATAGACCAAATCTACATTCTTCATTAGATTCTGAACAAAGTTTCGCTTACAGCTCTAGCCTAAAGCTAACCGTTTTCCAAACCCTGAATTAGTAGATATCGAGATTTGGATAGTAGTTAATTTTCTATTAGCTTATCTAAGAGTCGATGACTGATAATTATATCAGTATTCTCCTATGACTTTATATATTTAGACAACAGTAGAGATTTCAACTTATTTTTAGTAATTTAAGTCTAAATCAGCTTGTCTTGACTGATTTAAATGTCTATATTGATATAATGTGCCATTCATGTGAAAATCGTCGACATTCCTAAGTGATAGATATGAGTAAACTTTTTTTGTTGTTGGCTTGATTGATTGATTGATTGATGATTTACGTTTCACTACTTATCTTTCTCTAGTTTCAAGGATCTGGGTATACTCCAGCTAATGAGGATATCGATCGTGCAGCCAAAGAAGCAGTTATGACTCTACTAGAAGCTCTACGTAATGATGTCAATTCAGTGAAGTTGAACCAAGATTATATTTTTTATCCTCGACCATCGAGTGCTGCACTTGATCAGACATCATCAATTTCACATTTACCTAATTCGTTGAATAACACTTCTCAAGTTCAGTGTAATGCACCTGTTAACTCTGCGTTTACTGGTTCATTCGGTGCTGGCGGTGTTGCCGTACAGAATACTAATACTGGTTTAACTTATCCATCAGCTGCTACACATGATGGCTCAGCTTTCATGTCGCATTTTGAAGAAATTCAACCGTTGGACTCTAAAAGTTAGTTGGCTTATTGTCCTACTCTTTTATTTTTATCTCTATTCATTTCCACTACCTCTAGTCTTAAACAACTTGGAGTTTTATCAGTAGTTCTCCTTTACCATGATTGCATTCTGTAAAAATAGCTCACTGTAAACCGTTTATATTACTACCATCGGTAGTCGTATATTTGTAAAAGATAAAAGACCGATTCAATTTCATCTTTCGTATGTGTATGTCTTACAGTTTTAAGCATCATCAATCTTACTGCGGTCATATTTTTCATAATAATAATGTAAGGGATACTCTAGGTGTAGTTTTTAAAAAAAAACTATTCCTTTAAAAGTGAATTAGTGCTGCAGATTACTTTGCATATTATATCTAGCATATGGAATGCCGTGAACTGTATAGAAATAACACAATCGATACTAAAAGTGTTTGTAGTTGTCCGAATTAGTGTTAAACTTTTTAATTGTAGGGTAATTCATATATATATATATATATATATATATATATAGGCATGAATGAAAACTGAAGCCATCCTTTTTTGTGTATCATTTTTTCAAGGAAGGAAAACTTTAAAATAACACTAAAATGCTATGTTCCTGAATTAATAGTTTGCCTAATAATCGTCATTCCAGAATAAAGAATCCTGTGTGTACAACCAATAAAATGATTAAATATATCTTAAATCATAAAAATAACTTTATTCATTCTCTATAGTTTGGTTTGTAAGGGTTAGTTATGTTTTTATGAGTTGATCACGGACTGAGAGAACCATTGGAAAACCAGGGATTACTGGACAGCTGTTTCATCCTAGGTTGGGTATCATCGGCAGTACGCACCCACTGGGATTCGAACCCAGTGAGGTCCATTTAGATGTCACGTGTGAGGATGGATGTCCCACCAATGACAATGGTTGGGGTCGCGCTAAATCACAATTGGTAGAAGTTAGAATTCATGAGCCATTGAATCGGGTCCCAGTGGCTGAATGGTATACGAGCTTGCCTTTATTCATTCTGTTTTACCATGTTAAATTTCTCCCTGTTTACTTATATATAAATAGTACACTACTGAAAGTGCTGTGTTAGTGATATGCGTTATTGATTATTATATACTTTCTAGATCATGAGGATGAGGATGAATTCAGTGAAAATTCTCGACCTTTATCTCCAGTTGATAATGTAAATCAACCAATGAATTTTCCCTTTCAACCTGTAATTAATGGTGTTGAAACTCTGAACAATTATAAAACATCGAACAGCAGTCAATGTATGTCCTACTATACCGTTTCATCGTGTGCTGAAAGTTTACCTTCATCTGATTCAATCCAAAGTAGCAGTAAACCTAGAAGTGAATTAAGAGAAATGACTGAAAGTGCTGTTGGATCTGATGTGCCAAATAATAACTTTGTTCCTCAGTCTTTGTTACCAATGAATTTAAATTATGTGAATGATATCTTGTCTCTTGCTGGTGGTCGTGCAGAAAATGGTGTAAACTTTATCAGTTGTCAACCTGGTTTAGAGGAAGTACCGCCACTTGTTCCACCTCATAGTGACAAACCTGGTGCTAATTTCGTTGGAGATTCAGGATCAACTTCGTGCAATGAATCAACATCGTATGATCCATCGATGAGTACTCAACCTGATAATAATACAGCTTATCAAGGATATGCTGGTCAATCAATGTATACTACACAGCAGCCAAACCACGTTTCTTGTAACCAGGGTGGAGTGAATTATACCTCCTCATCTCCTTTCAATCCTGAAGGATTAGTTACTGTCACAATCACTATTCCTAGTGTGTTGGAAACCACTTTAAGGAGTTTAATTACTAAATTGTGTTCCAATCCGTCTCATCCCTGCATCCTAGTACCAACCTTAGAGTCTAATGACCCTTCATCTGTTCCTCATTGTTCGAGTGTACGTGTAGTTGATATACCAGAAGGACACATTTTTGTAGGTGTTCCTGGAGATGGACGAGTGCCATCTGGTGCCTATTTGCGTAGTACGTTTCTAACAAGTGCCAAGAACGATACTGAAAAGGCATTTGTTCTTGTCGCAGATACTCATTCTGATGATAGTTTCTCTGGACCACACATATACAAACTTCCAAGAGACTCAGCGCTTATTTTAACACATAATGGCAACATTCATTTACTAGATAGACCTGCTCTAGTTGTTCCGGTGCGTTCAGTAGACCAAAATCAAAGTGTCAGTCCACCAAGTTCCCCTGATCATAGTTCTGGGATACAGCCAATTGTATCATCCGTGTATGTTCGTGAGTTGCCTATGCCAGCTGATACAGACGCACTAAGTTTTGATGATGTACTCGCTTTACTATTGGCTCTTCGTGATGCACCTCAAGGTGCTATGCAGCCGTATCATTTAAATATGACCATGAATGCCGATAATGAAAATACTCAGATTGAGTCAAAAACTAGTGTAGGTGACAGTGCTCCAGGGGCTGAATCTTTAAGTCGTCGATCGTCTGCAGCTGCAACAGTAGGTCCTACCAATTCTGGATTTTATGCTTCGCAAGCACAACCTGCATCTACATCTGGGATGACTCCTAGCCAACCATCACAAAGCTTACTAAGTCAACCACAGCAAATCCAAAATCCACATCAAACAGGTATGCAGTCAGCCCCTCAATTTCCAATCCCTGTAAGTATGGGTCATCAATCTACCAACCAACCGCCAGGTGCAGTTTCTTCAAATGTTGCTGCTTCCCGACTATCTTTGCCTAATCAAATGCACCCTTTTATCCAACCGATTGGTCAACCATCACCATTACAGTCAATTCCACCATCGACTATGGATTCTCATAATCCTGGTGCTACTGCATACATGAATCAATCATATCCTTCAAACGATGTTATTCAGTCGAGTCAATCCATGATTGCTCAAAATCAATTGTCTTTACCCGTGAACAATGTCTATTTGCAACAACAGCTGTTATCCATGAAGACACAACCAGAACACATGTCAGTCACTAACCAAACTCATATAAATCCTTCCTGTCTATCAAATTTACAACAATCTATAATGCAACAACAGGCTCATTTACCCACACAGCCAACACAACCAAAAGAATCCCAACAGCAGGCAGTGATTCAGCCAAATACACAGCAACTCATACAACTGTTGTCTGCTTTGAATACTTTGCAAGCCTTGGATCAGGTAAGCGGTTTTCTCTATAGCCGTTAAAATAAATGTATTCTTATATTCATTAATGTGATTTTACCAATCAGTATGAAATTCAATCATTTCAAGAATTTAAACCGTGTATTACATGAGCAAACGAATGTTGTAATCATTTTTTGCATTGAACCTGTATTTCAGAGTTCATATATTTCAATAATCATATATAAGTTCACACACACCCACTAGATTACTTACCACTGTTTTTGCATGTGTATATAGTTTATTGATGTTTTCCTTTTACTCAAGCAAATGTACTTAACCACTGATTATTTAATTATTGTCAGAGTTTAAGACTGTGTTGCAAGTATGGGACTAGGTTGTGTTATTTGGCTGCTAAACGACTGCTCTTCACAATCTAGTACACGAACCCGAACTTATCTGTTAAGTTGTAAGTACTTTTCGATCTATTCATTTTTTCATAAAGAAGTTTTGTATGTATAAATGGTTAACGTAACATTCAATAATTATTTCGTCTTTGTTTTAGGTACCTCAGTTATTATCAAATCTTTTAAAGACTTCCAGTCAAGTTACTAATCCATCCTCTAAATCAGTGACAAATCCAGGTGTTGTCAGTACTGCTCCAAGTGTAGGTGTAGTTCGACATCAAAGACAACTTTCTCCTCCAGTGTCCACACAATCTGCAGCACCTGCCTCAACTCAATCGCAAGCAAGTCATATTCCTCAAAGACTTAGTGTTGCCAGCCCTCCTGTACCCAACGTAGGGTCATGTTCAGCGAGCGTGAATTCTTTGCCTGTATTGTTAAGTCGCCTGTTGGCTTCCGCAGCTGCTAACTCTGAATGGTCAAAGTTGAATGAGATTAGTAAACCTCAAGGTGTTCATATGCGTCCTTCTTTCTTAGCAACTAATTTATCATCGGGTGCATCTACTGTAGAAAATCAGGATAATACGAATGTTCAGTCTGTAGTGAAGGCACCAACAGGCCAGACTAGTAGTATTCACTCAACTCAGCCTTCGCATCAGCAGCAGCAACAACAACAAATGACTCAAATACCGTCCCATCACCAACCCACTCAAATTCATTCACAATTGCAACACTCTTCCCAACTTTTATCACAGCAACAAGCTTCTCAGATGCAATCGCATACACAACAGCAATCTCAAACACCACCAGTTCCAACACAGCAACAAACTTCACAAATATCTGGACAAGGTCAGCAACTTAATCAACTTCAGTCGTCAGCCCAACCAACTCAAATGCAGCAGCATCAACAAGCTGCTCAAATACTGTCTCAAGCACCGTCACACCAGATCCAGCAACAACAACAACCTCCGTCAGTTACTCCTCCTTTACAAACAAATCAAATGAATCAACAACCAGTTTCTCAAGTGACAGTACAACAGCCGATGCATCAGACTCAGTCAATGCAATCAACACAACAGCAACCTCTCCCAATGCAAACTCACCAGCAACTGTCTCAGCAATCTCATGCGTTACACCCATCGACACTGCAACACTTTCAGCATCATTCACAGCAGTTACAATGGCAACAGCATCAGCAACTACTGAATAATATCATGCCGAAACTGTCTGCACCTGCACCATCTAAAGATAGAAATCAACAACAACTTTCTTTACCTGCAGCTCATACATACCTCAGCCAAATATTGCCAGAGTTAGCGAATGCTGTACGTCTACTTCAGCAGACACCAGATAGTAATAATGTAAGTTTTTAGTTGATTATTATGCATGCATGTAATCTATTATTTCTTTGATTTTGAATTAACTTGTATCCACCTTTCACACCACTTCCTTAGGTTGTGTAGCTGGCGTAGTATTCAAACTCTTTTTGATATGGCGTTTTCCTTCTGTCAAAAGCTTTAGTTTGCTCAGTATTCAATGCTGTATGGATAGTTTGTGTTTTAGCCAGTAGGTTATTTCATTGTGAAAACGTATACAATAACTATCTAAATAAGAATAATCATGGTTTGTTTCTTTATATTAGGTAGGTAGTGGGAGTTATCTCTTAAAAAGAACAATAATAATATGTTTATCAGTTTTAGTAATTGGAATGTACTTTATGTAACCAGATAATAAATTATAAATAACTGCTTTGTTGATCTGTGTAAAACACCTGCCTTAGGTCTTTTTTAGCTTGATATTAAAGCTACTGACTGACTGACTGAACCATCAAAACTGTTGTTGATTGAAGTGTAGCCAAACACAATGGAACCTGGGGATTTGATTTATCTTATTTTAAGTAATGTTTCTTACTTGCCAATAATTATGTGAATTCATTTAGAAATATCTACATCATTTTTTGTTCTTGCAGTTTTGATTTCTTGAAGTGAATAAAGCCTCACAGATAAGTTATGCAAATATAGTGCTTCCAAAGTGGAGTTAGAGAGCACAAGGGTATTTTGGAAACAGAAACTGTTTCTCAGTAATTTTTTCTATTCCTTCACGTTCCCCAGTGGAACATAGGGCTTCAAGCTAGAGGCTTGAAGTTTCTGTAGCAGTGTATTTTTACAGGATGGGGTTGCTCGCCTCATGCCCAACCTTTCCTCTTTATCAGCTTTATTACTGGCTTAGGGAGGTAAAGGAGTGCGTCAGTGGCTGGGGATCGAATCCCGGACCATGTGCATGGTTGGCGAGCGTTCTAACCGCTTTGCCACCGACGACTGTTTCTCAGTAATGATCATTACTAATATATCCTTGTTATTGAAATGTGAATAATTTTCAAATTGAGCGACGTTAAAGTATAAAAGAAAGAGATTGGTGAATGCAAAGCTGTGTAGGTTTGAAATAAGATAGTGTTTGAAATTTTGTCTATAGCTTTCTTTTTCTTCCATGAAACCAGGGTTTCACAATGTGAACATTGCTTATAGGGTGGTATACTGTTCTGTAAGTTTTGTCACTCAAGAACTAAGAATACTGTAATCCTTTATTATTATTGTTTACCATTTTGTAGTCGAATTTATGTTTTCTTTGTGAGATCGATGGAAAAAAAAGTGGTTGAAGATGAAGGCGCAGATCATTTGGCTGACCTATTTTTTTTAAGGCCTGTAAATCCATATTTCGTTTGTTTGTTGTTTTTTCTAATGATTAGCATGCTAGGCGTTTGATAGCTTATCATAAAAGTGTTTAAAATAAGGTGTAAAATGACTAAATCATTCATGGAGTAGGTTTCCTTCTTTGTTTACCTCTATGGGTGTGACTGGTTGGTAAGTTGTGTAATAAAAGTAGCATTTAAAACAAGCGTGATACATTTCTTTGACTGTCATTGAATACGTTCTTAAGTTAAATGTCATTTTAGAAGTTTAAGAGCATATTAGTGGTCAGTCAAATAACTGACTGACTAACTAACTGGTTTAAACATAGAACTCTGCACAGAGGTTCAGCAGCTCGAGTTGTCACGCTCCATATTGCGTACAAAGGAGGAGATTCATAATAAGCCGAAGTATCAGGGACAAAGGGCAGTAACATGGAAAAACAATAGGGTTTAATAGGTACGGCAGATCACAAAGAGTGAATGCATCTTGCGCCATTGAGAACTAATTTAGAGCCATATCACCAATTGTCTCCAGTCATTGGTTCTTACGATCCTGAGGACTTCAACCAAGAAGCCTAGACCTCTCCACGTGGCTAACCCGAACTCTTTGGTTTGACCGTCACTAGGTCTTTTCCAACTTGATTCTATGTCAGCTAACATTTCCCGTTAAGGGAGGCGATGGCTAGGCATGCATGAGTAACACATGCCCTAACTATCGCAATCCATGTAACTTCACAACCGTGTCGATTGATTCCCCCTCCCCCTCACTTAACATTGACTGATTCCCAAACTCAACATTACTCACTTTATTATACCACCTAACACGGAGGATGAAACGCAGACACCTATGATCAAAGATAGCTAGTCGGACTTTTCATGCCTTTAGCTTTCAATAGTCGTGTCTCATAACCATAAATGAGGATGGAGGAAACTGGTGCGCACTACACGCGTCCTTTGATCGATAGCCAGTCGGATATCAAGTTTACAAATATCTCATATGACAATAAATTTCTAACAATTTATTCCATCAAATTGTAGCTATATTAAAATTTATCAAACCGTTTCACTCATTTTTGTTAGATTAAATTAGTATGTATCAACCAAATTGTGTGTTACACTTCTTATTCATCATGAAAATTTCCTAGTAGTGTTTGCAAAATTCGAATCATAAGCTACACTGTAAAAAGCCAGTTCTTTAAATTTTCTTCAGTTATTCTTATCTTCAAGTGCGATCTCGGATTGACATCAGTTAGGGAAGCATTGAAAATACTGGAATAGTGAACCACTGTTTTGTTCTAGTGTGAGACTCTTGAGCAGTACTCACCCGTCACCCCCCACCCGCCAGGGATCGAACTCAGGATTCTCAGGTTACGACATGGACTCGTCGCGACCATTCAGCCACTGAAACGGAATCTAGTTGTTCATCTGAATTCTAACTTCCATCGATTCGCCATTTACTCCAAGTTATTTCGTATGTATTCTTTTATGAAGAAATTGCTTTTTATTTATATTTTCAAACAACTTCTCTAGGCTGGTTTGCTGTCTGTAGACGTTCAAAATAAGTTGATCACGCTTTTACAACAACAACAACAGCAGCAGCAACAACAACAGCAACAATCACAACACCAACAACAGCCACAACAACAACAGCAGCAACAACCACCACCACTACAACACCAGCAGTCACAACAACAACAACAACAATCTGTGCAACAAGTACAAAACCAGACTCAACAACAATCAGCAAATCATGATGTAACATTTAATTGTACAGGAACAAATGTTGCAGTGCCTTCCTGTTTACCTGGAAATGGTCAAATATTAAATATTCATCCTATATCTACGAATTCAAAATTGCCTATATCATCGACTATGAATTTAGCCTCTATGAATCGTTTTAATGTTACGCCTTCTCCTGTTTCGTCTAACACATCTGTGCCTATGCCTATTAGTTCTGTAGCATCTAATTGTACTCGTGATCATCATTTGGTGTCTCATGATGCAGCTAAAGATATGATGAATAATGTTGATCATTCCCTTGTTAATAATAATATACCAACAGAATCGAATATGGCTTCGACTAGACCCATAAATTCAGGTGGAACAACTATAGCTAACAAGTTTACGGTATGTTTTTTTTGTTTTGTTTTGTTTTTCGAGTTCACCTCCATTTTGTTGTTAAAATATGCATTCAATATGATTTCATTTTTTTCAATTTACTATAAGAAATTATCTGTGGTAAGAGAATTTTACGATCGTTTCAAAATTGATTAAAGTATTCGACAATTTTCGTAGTTTCATTGGTCATAGTGGTTTTTTTTAAAATAAAAATATGGATGGATTAATAATTATTCTAAGTTAGTAATAAAGAACATTTCAATTTTAAATGCTACACAGGTTGCTCCTGCAAGCCTTGAAGATGATGATCCAGTATCCTCTTCTGCAATTGTGCAAGGATCTACATCCAATCAAAGGCAACAAGCACCACCAAGACCACCTAGACAACAGCGTAACTATCCTGGTTCTACGCTTGGAATGCATACATCAAATGAATCACTAGGGCATGGATCAGTTGGTGGTACTGGTAATGCAAATGTCAATATGACACCTAGTATGAATCATGGTTTACCAGTTGGAACATTGACAAGTGTTAATTCAGCTTCAAATGCTCCATCTGCAAACAAAGCAGTTCCTTATAAATATCCAGTTCGTTTACTTTTTCCTTTTATTTTATTGGCCTATATTATATAAATGAATTATTATTTTCCCCTATCGCATAGAATGAATATGTACACGTTTTAGGACAGATTTTAATGATATTGAGAGTTTGAAAGTAGACTAAATTTAAACCCTAAAATCTATTATGGATAAGATTTTATTCTCATAAATCACACAGTGTTACACAGTAATATTAACTGATGACGTTTCGAGCACAAATTATTGCTCATAATCATATCAAGTTACTCACACAATAGTTTGTGCTCGAAACATGGTCATCAGTTAATATTACTGTGTAACACTGTGTGATTTATGAAAATAAAATCTTATCCATAATGGAGTTATACTCTACCACAGTGCCCAAGTTTTATACTTATATCAATAATCCCTAAAATGTTGATATTTTGCCTACAAAGTTGGCTGATGTTCTTATAGCTTACAATAATTAGTTGTCATTACGATGATAACTTGTTATATACGGAAAGCTGTAATGTTGTACTACTACTTTCACCTATATATACCTGTAATCTTTGTTGATGTACTTCTCTTATTGAAATTGTACAGCAAAAAAAGAAGTAAAAATACCTTTAGGGATTACATCTTTAAGTGTAGAATTAAATTTTGTTATTGATAAGTAGTAGTAGTAAAAGTACACTGAAGGATAAGTTGTTGTTTTAAACAAAGTGTGTATCTATGCTTTGACTGTTATTCTTAAAGTATTATTATGATTATTTGTTTACATGTTTGAAATCCTTTTCATTCTTTTGGACACTACAGTGTAGTTTACTATTTACTTTTTTGTGGCAAATGAAGTATTTTTAATACCCCGGACCATGTGCATAGTCAGCGAGCGCCCTAACCGCTGTGCCACCGACGCGTTATTAGTTGTGTAATGAAATTGAAGTCTAAGTGTTGAGGGGGTAAGCCTAACTAGTCACCATCCACCGAGTCACTTCAAAGGAAATCCTTAGACATCTTCGAAGCATCCGTATACTGGGAGCTGACATGTCAACAGACGCTGATTATGTTGGTTCAATCATTTAAAAATCAAAATTGATTTAAAAAGACATAATAACTCTGAATCCCGTTGCACAAGAGGTGTCTCTAGTGACTGGCTCATGTGACGTGTGAAACAACGAGTACTGGTTGGGTTAGAGTCGCAGGTCATCACTCACTAGGTAATGCTATTACATCCAGGTGACGAGTCCAAAATGGGATGAAATATATGCATCTTGGATTCCATTATTAGTCACCATCTGCCAAATCACTTCAATCCTAACGTGTATTGTTTAAAAAAACCACGAATATTTCACTCTATTGTATTATATGTAAAGAAATCAAGTAATTCTTGCCTATTGAATTATTCGCTCGCATAAACTACTGGTAGGCTGCATGGAAAAACAAAGATTTGGTACTACAAGTATTTAAGACTATTTCAGTTCAGTTTTGTTTCTTGTTTTTAAAAAGCCTGATAAAACTCAGGATAAACTTAGTGCCCTACAAAAACAAAAATGTTTGTTCTATGTTTTTTTTTAATCACACGGAACTTAATAACCATGAACTCTCACTATTATAGTGGCTATCTAGAGATGTGGAATTCTGTTTATTTAAATTTATTTATTTTGTATTATTTAATCAATATACAATTTTTGTCCAGTAGATATTGACGTTAAATGTACAAAAGTACAAAATGAATTACGTAATATTTTTAAAATTCAATCATTCTTCTGTAGGGGAAAATAATAAAGATATTTAATGATGGCATAAAAGTATTAAAGTAAATAATTCAATAAACTGAATTTATTTCTCTTAAGTACACAAATTATGTTTCACTTTCGGTCTGTAGAACGATGGACTCAGCAATGCTGTAAGAAAGAATCTACGTCTTCCATGTATAAGTGAGTTGGTGAATTGCATATGCTTAGACAAATGAAAAGGCTGTTCTTGATTTATTCCATTGTGTCGTTAAATATTACTATTTTCTACTGCTCTTCTGATTATCTTCATAGAGAAATGCTTTTAATATTGTGTGCTCTCATAAAGCATAACGACCAGATGCTATTAACAATGTGTGATTTATTATTTAGTGTTTTCATTATGATGGTGAATATGTATGTGTGAAGCTATTGTGCATTTTTTTGTGGCAGTCTTTTTACTCTTTGAAGGTTTATTTATTCGATTGGATGGAGGATTTCATCATGAGCTGAAATCAGTTAGAGAACCACTAGAAAACCTGGGAGTACTGGACAGTCAGCTGTTTCGTCAGTCTAGTTTGGGACTCTTCAGCAGCACGCACCCATCGGGGTTCGAACCGAGGACCTTCTGGTTACAAGACGAGCTCTTAGACCATTGAGCCACTGGGAGCCACTAGTGGGTGCGTACTGATGAAGAGTCCCAAACTAGGCTGACGAAACAGCTGTTCAGTACTCCCAGGTTTTCCAGTGGTTCTCTAACTGATTTCAGCTCATGATGAAATCCTCCATCCAATCAAACAAAAATCCCTACAAAACCAATACTTGAAAGTTTATTTATTCGTTGCTAGAGCTCTTAATACTTACCTAGATACTATTACTGTTTCTCATATTACTCACAATGGAGTTTTAAGTTAGGTTAGGAAACGCTGGTATCTATTCATAAATTGTCTAGTTAGATGACTGTAACTGTTTCAGTTGCTTTCCATTAGGTTATTGAGAAAAGTCTCTAAGAAGAGAAAAACATTAAAGTGAAATGTATTGTCACTGAAACTGTGAGCATTAACATACACACACACAGTGCCTACGATCTTGGTGTATCCTCTATTTAGTCAAGCTATCAATAGTAATCAGTGAGAAAATAATGCAATGATAACAATTAAAGTTAATGAAGATTCAAAGTCAACATGAAAGCTAGTCATCAATCTTAATAACAATAAAGAATTTGGAAATTCAGTTGTCTAACTGACAGATGTATTGATATTTTAATTCAGTTCATACTTTAATAACATAAGTAGTAGCTGGTATTTAGATGTCTACATATGAAGATGTATTCTCCTTGAACAAGTTAATTTCCTTCCTAAGTTCTTTTGTTTTGCAGATTACGGTTTTCCCTGCCTAAATAATCATCAGATCACCTTAGCATTCTGACTTTGTTTTTGTTTGAAATATATTTCCTTTTTAAATCCAAGTATTTCTTTTTGAATTACTCTCATTTTGGTGCTATCTCAATATTCTTGTGTGATTTTCTTTTTCTTTTTTTAATGATTCAACTAGACTGAGAATATTCCCTCTCAACATGGTCCATCTACTACAACTATGCCGACTACTACATTGACTGCTGCTCTACCTCAAATTAATAATCCTCATCAATCTACTCTTTCATCGTCTAGTGTAACAAATACAGTACCACTGAATACAATTCATTTATCTACTACTGTTAGTAATTCTGTTTCTACTGTATCAAGTCAAAACCAACCTGGATCTCAACCGCCAAGTTAGTTTGTGATCACCTTTAAAATAATTAAATTTTTTTCTAACTGTAAACAACACTTTCGATTGATGTAAAGTCTGTAATTATATTTGTTTTAAGTTAAATATTTTTGAATGAATTTTGAGATCATGGTGAATACAAATGTATATGTTGAAATTGACTTAGTTTTTTTATTACGGCTTTTTTTACATCCTATGTATATAAGTGTATTATTGTGCTATTTTCTGTAATCTTTATTTTTTTTGCTTAAAGGTGGTGACCTTATTTCACTGTTTCACTTGCTTAATCTTCTAAGAGCAAACATTGAGTAAATATCTTCACAGAGTTTACATAACGATGTTTAGCGCTTTTGTGAATCTTTATTGAATGGTCAATTAAGGTTGAGTTGATCAGGATTCGCTGAATCTATTTGGTTGTTAGACGGAAACCCATATATATATATATATACCATTTGCTTCAGATAAGAGAAGTGATCAGTCTCCCAGTTTACATTTTATAATGACAAGCACCCTGAATCTATTAAGTTCGTTAGTCATTTGTTTCTGATTGGACACTGGTTAGTAACTAGTGTAATGTGTCTAATCCTTTGTTTGGTGCAGACTGAATTCTATCAGTCACGTTGGCAATGTGGCCACCATGCTAGGTGGCTCGCCATTACTGCGCATTTTGAATATTTGATGCTAGATGGTTCGAGGCAATTGGCAGGAGACCTTGGACCTAAGTTTCGGGCTGGTTGTCACTCACTAGTCAGTGAGGCGTATCTGCAATCTTGATCGAATTCATGTCCCTTCTGGGATTCGAACCCACGTCACCCAGTGCTGCAGTCAGAGACGTTACTGAGTTATTTGGACTCACGATTGACCTCCTGTAGGACAGTATTGGGTATTTCTGTATTCTGACTTTTAGTCAAATGAAAATGAATTGTGTGTCGGTGGCACAGTGGTTAGGACGCTCGGCGACCATTCCCATGGTCCGGGGTTCGACCCCCTGTCTACGCACACCTGATATCTATGGTCGGCCTGCAAAATTTGGGCTACCGATATCACATGCTGAAAATTCTATACCTGTATCAAAAATACTATGTGGAGTCAAGCTATAATCAAAATTAAAAAAATTAAAAGGATTTCGTAGCTTTTCCTTTGATGTGTTGTTCGATAATTCAGTATGTTAGGCAGTGAGTTGTAAGCAATATTATTCTTTTCAACGTCTGTAGGTATGAAGTGTATAATAGTGAAATGCCATCATGTTTGTGCTTCTTCGGTGTTGGAAGTACAGGACTATGCCATTAATCTTCACCAAACAGTTTTACGTTGTGTTCTATGTCGCTAGATTAAGTGATGTGTTCATTCGTGCAGAAACTCTTCTTTGACATCCCATTTTTCTAAAAATCTTGCAAATCCACTTAACCTATATTTTAATGTTCTAGTTAGTAGTCGCTAGTTATTTGTGAGGAGAATCAATAACTGTGAAAACACTTGAATGGGCTTATACCATATCGTCATTTGATAGTAGTATCTGGAGGACAGTGTGATCTTTTAGAGACTTGAACATCCTAGCATTGAGTGTCTGAAGACCCTAAATGTCCAATGTTTCTTGATTTTTAAGGGTTCTCTCAATAATTTCTATTCATGATAATAGGCATTTCGTTTTTTTCTTTGCTGTTGCCTTATTTTGGTTTTTCCTTTTTATATTTTAGCTTCAAAGTGAATTTATTCTACTGGAAGAAATCAGCATGGTCTTTCTATAAGGATCTGTATCAAAATCTACAGTCTTATTGTCAACAGTCGTGTCGTGTCTTTGCTGTCTGATTTTTTTGATTATTGTAAAAGCTTATTTTTCAGTCATCCTGTTGTTGTTGTTGTTGTTTTTCTCTCTTTAGTAACCCGGTGTTTTCTAGGTTCTTTCAGGTTTCACCGTAATTAATTAACTTGCATATATATATTTAAGCAATAATTTGCTGTAACACTCACTCATTCACTCACACATAAATACATCCATACACATACACACAGAGATTCCTGTTTCTTTTTTCGCTCTCCTTGTATTCTTCTTGAAAATTGAACATACTTCACATCCTGCGTCTTTCTATACGATCTTTTTTCTTCTTTTCGTTTTTTTGTTGCTTTTGTGAAGGTCTTTATGCATATAACCCAGAAATAAAGAAAAGTGTGTATAACTTTCTGTCACAATATCGTATTATATAATAGTCGTGCAAAAGTACTACTACAACTACTACTAGCTTCGCATGTTTTTGGTCATTTCATTGTATCATGTTCTGTGCCAAAAAAACACCACCAACAACAACTTGTAGTTTTGTTTTGTTTTTATTTAATCTAAATTTTTAAGATATGCGCATACCTTTGTTTGTTCCTTGGCCTACACACACATGTTACAATGTATAATAGTTCATAAAATGTCATTGTTGTTCTTGTTGTTGTTGCTGCTTCGCTTTCAAAGTTGACTCGTTCTCACATTTTCATTCTCTGTTAGATTTCGATTATTACTTAATGTGGTTATTTGATTTCTTCAATCAAAAACAGAAAAAATAATAAGAATAATAATGATACAATCATCAACACACCCCTTTTTTTCTGTGTGACTGTTTCATTACTTTCCTATCTTTTCCTTATCGACTGCTAATTTATTTCGTTGTTAACTTTGTTTTGTGTGTTTTCTGTTCTGTATTACTCATTCGTCCGTAATCTCGGTTGTTAATCTACTGTGCTTTGTCTCTTGTTCGTTCTCTCTCTCTACATATATACACTTACTATTTGTTTTGGTGGGTCTTTTTTCTCCCACGTGTACACGATACACACAGTCACTTTGCATTATCAAAGAGGATATTTTATATTTGTATTATAAATATTCCAATCTCTCTCTCTCACTCTCTGTCTCTATGCATTGGTTATTTCTCGTTTTTTTTTAAGGCATACAACAGTGGTTCACAGCTTTGAAAGCTTACATCCATCAAATAATTCACATTATTGTTTGTTATTCTTATCACATATATATAGTTATTGTTCTCGTTATTTCATCATCATTTCTGTTCCGCTCCCACCTCCTACTCTCTGTTTCCACTTACACCTCTGTCTTACTGCCTACTTACTGCTTTGTACATTTTGTTTTGTTTCATCTAAACGACTGGATGATGAGAAACGACGGACTACACACACAGTTTAAGAATACGATATTGTAATTTGTGGTATATATATATATATATATATGCACATATAGAGATTAATTTCCTTATAAAATAATTTATATTTGTTCTTTCTGTACTTATTGATTCACATATAACAGTCATATATATATATATATATGCACTTCATGACTGATTGGGTTTCACACTTTGTCTGTCTCCTCTCCTTTTCCGTCTAATTGAGCTTCCATAGCTTTTTCGTTCTTCTTTCCCTCCTTGTCATCTTTATTGGGGAGGGGAAACTTTCTTTTGTCTATACTTTCATTACACAATCATTCCAAAAGTAAAGTATCTTGTTGTTTATATATTTATTATACGCTTGCATGTGTAAACACAGTAGGAGAGTAGACTGATTGATTGATTAGTTTCATCATTTTTTTTTAGTTCCCATAGATGGATACAACATATGCATATATATACACACACACAAACAAACAGGCATGGTGATTAACTTGACAGATGTAATTGCGATCGGATTAATTTCGTCATTTTCGTTTTCTTCAATTTTCTTCAGCGTTTTCATTCTCTTACTCTGTCTCTCTCCTCTTTTCTATCAAATATATACATACTCAGTTGTGTATCAGAGCTTGCTTTACATATTATATTGTCTTATATATATATATATAGGTGACTGTTTTACTGTTGATCGGGTTTCGCAGTGTTTTTAAAAATATATACATACATATAAATTAATAGAATTGTTGAGCAATATAGTGTTGTTATTTTATGTTTTTATTTTATATTGGGTGAGAATTTAAGGTTTTCTTCAGTGTTGTTTCAGACATTGTTTGTTACAACTTCAAACATTTAGTCTAAGAAAAGTATGCGAAACAGTTGTGTTAATTATTCGTTGACTTCAGCCTCAGATATGAAATGTCTGTGTGACATTTATCAGTTTTTTACTGTCTGTTGTAACAGTGGGATATTTGAATATGTACCGGTGACTAACTATGCTGTATGAATAGTGCACCGTTCTGCTGCAAGAAATGATCATTGATGGTCAATGTTACGTCTAGTCTTGGAATATAGCTATGTGTAGTATACACACTAGTTCGTTGAAATCTTCGCGATTTCAGGAATCAGCGATTTGATAATTCTGTTAGTTAGTCTAAAAATTACTCTCAGTGGGGCACACGAACGTATTCATCTCCGATGTATCCTTCATCATATTGCTCTAACTTTATTTGATTTCAATGCCTTTCTACTTTTGCAGTGTTACGATAATGTGAACTTAACTACACGATGTTCTGCACTGTTATGTTTGTCCACTATCATTGGTCAGTCTTGTTTGTAAAGTTGTATGTTGTACCTTCAGTTTATGAATTAGTCTGTTCTGACTGTGCGTCGTCGGTGGTTCAGTGGTAGAATTCTCGCCAACTAGTCATGTGGTCCACGGTTTGATTCCTGGTCGACGTACTCCTAAACCTTGTCTAATTCATGAGTCGGAAAAGAGAGAGGAGTTTGGGAGTGAGGCTAACAACCCCACCTAACAAAGGAAACAACACCAAGGATATTGGAACTTCAAAGTTTTAGGCTTGAAGCGCTATGTTTCATTTGGAACTCAAAGTGATGAAAAAAATGGTCTATTCTGTTTCAGTTAACAGCTAATGATAACATTTTGGTTGCAAGTTATGCATTCAGATGGAGCTAACTAAAGAATACGTCAGTTATAACGGTAAAGTAAATTAATAGACTTGTTTTTGCATTTGGGTTAATACCTTTTCTAACATTATGTGCCTTTTTATAGTATTTATGGGAACAGTATGTTTCATTTGACCTAATGTATATTGAAACACTAAACTAGCTTTACCACAACGGAAGTTCGAAGTGAATACAGGAGTAAGACAAGGCTGCCTATTGTCACCAATGGTATCCCTAATTGTGGTGGATTGGATTATGTGTCATACTGTGGGTAGTGAGAAGACAGGAATATGCTGGACCGACAAGAAGATCTGGATTTCACAGATGACTTATGTTTAGTGCTACACAAACTCGAAGACTTGCAGGTGGAAACCAACAAACTGGCTGAAGTAGGAGGTGTTCAAGATAACCAACCAACAACAACCAGCACCATCAACGGGAGAAATTTGAAAGAGGTTACTTCATTCATTTATCTAGGAAGCATCGTTTTCAACTACAGGCAATCGGAACGAATGAAGATGTGAAAGCCAGCCAGAATCGGAAAGGCAAGATATGCCTTCATCATCCTGAAATCAGTTTGGAAATCTTCTGCACTTCGCGGCATAAACAACAAGGTTCCGATTTCCAATACTAATGCGAAGCCACTTCTTCTATACGAGTCAGCAACTTGCACTGAACGTCATGAAAAGCTTTTCTAACAGGTTACAGACTTTTATCAATAACTGCCCTCGCTGGTTCCATACTGAGGACCAAATGGCTGGCCTGAAAGAATTAGTAACAAGAAACTCTGACTGGGAACAAACCAACTAAGAGCCGATTGCTCAACAAATATGTGAGAGAAGATGGAGATGGATGGGGCCTACACTGAGGAGACCGTCGAATGACATCGAGTGGAACCCGAATGGCAAGCGACGAGTAGGTCGTTGGTGCGAGGATGACATGAAGGAGATCGTGCGAGGAGGAATGTGGTCCAGCTAAATAAGACGGCAGCAAATAGAACAAAGTGGAAATGTGTTGTTGAAGCTGTATGTTTCACTTGGAACCCAAGGTAATAATAATATAAAGCAACTTAAGATGTTTTGAATTATTCTATAAACTAAGCATATACAATATTTGGACGAGTATGTCTTCTCTTATTTCCTCATTCATTCTCTGTTTTAAGGTGTTGATGTATATGATTTTTTTTATCGTTTTTTCCTATTCTATCTTTCATTGCTTATATTTAAGGTAGATAGACAAATCAGCGTAAAACTATTTGCTAAAATGTATCAGTCTTTGTTTCTGCTTTATTTCAAAACACTTTATGTAAATATAAATTAAGAAAAAAACATTCAATTGATGATGCAACTGAAAAGCATTCTATTGAGGGGACGAAATAATTAACTGAAAATTGATAGGGAAATGTTGAGATTTTTAAAAAGTGATAAGCGAATACATATATCTAAGTACCTTACAATACCTCAAACAAATGGATTAGAGCTCTGCTTTGGTTAGAACACCTGTAAGGTTTTTTTATCCAGTTTAGACCCGGTATTCAACTACAATTGTTCAATTAGCGTAACATATTTTCCGTCCATACAATTAATGTTTGTATATATTCACTTTTTTTCGTAGAATACTGTCATGATATTTATCAGTGAACCGTGTGTTTCAGGTTTCAGGTTGTTGGTGAAGTCGTTTATTCACACTTATTATTTAAATGGGTAAGTTCTTTGGAAGGCCTGGATAAAATTTTGATTTATTGTTGTAAACAAACATGGCTATATCTCATCTCGCTGCACACTACTTCTTATTCATGCGTCTGATTATGACTACTTTACGACTGGTATTGTCTTCTGAATGAAAGTTTTTCACACACACTCACACGTACACACACGCATTTTGGCAATCGTATTTTTAAGATTCATTTTTATTATAATTGTGATTCAAGTTAACTTTTAGTTAGTTAAAGTTGAACAGAATGCTTTTTTCTTTTTTATATTTATTATAGCGTAAATTATATATATATATATATATATATATATATATATATATATATATAATCAATAAGGATAACTTTTAACTTTATTCTTCATTTGTGTCTAGTCAAATGACCTTATATCTGCTGTTAGCCATTCCTCTTTTGTTTATTTTTAATTATAACCTAAGAATAAGTTGACTGACTTGTGTTTTCATAAATTTATTTCTATCTGATGATAAAATCTATATTTATTATAATATCTATCTATTATATTAATTTCAAACTAGGTGATTTCTACTTTGAGACTGTTTATAATGTAATCTGACATTAAGAAATATAATCTGTTTGGTTACAGAATTTCATCATAAGCTGAAATTGGTTAGAGAACCATTGGAAAACCTCCGGGGAGTACTGGACAGCCGTTTCGTCAGCCTAGTTTGGGACTCTTCAGCAGTACGTACCCACCGCCAGGGTTCGAACCCAGGACCTTCTGGTTACAAGGCGAGCTCGTAGACCATTGGCAGAAGTTAGAATTCATGGGCCATTGGATCGGGTCCCAGTGACTTAATGGTCTACGAGCTCGCCTTGTAACTACCAGAAGCCCCTGGGTTCGAACCCCAGTGGGTGTGTACTGCTGAAGAGTCCCAAACTAGGCTGACGAAACGGCTGCCCAGTACTCCCCGTTGGTTTCCCAATGGTTCTCTAACCAATGTCAACTCATGATGAAATCCTGTAACCAATCAACCAAATCCGTACAAACCAATACTTAAAGATAATATGTTTCTTTAGTTTTTAGATAGATGTTTGTGTGTATGTGTGTATTGAATATGATTAACTGATTGATTTCAGGACATATTCCAATCTATAGTAGATATCAGAAGCAGACATGTCAACCTGGGACCGAGCACTTCGGTCCAATCGATCGACGGGAAAATCTAATTGAATTAAATAAAGTAGATGTCAGTTAGTATAAATTATTGGAAACTAGATGGGGAATGAACAGCTATTTTTTTATCCCAGTCTGGGAAATGTAGCCTAAAACTTGTAGGTTATACTGTGAAAGCACTATCTGTGACTAGACGGAAACTTTGGATTAAATGTTATGACCGACGGGATCCCCTGAAACAGGTTTCAGAATGAATACCTACTGGTTGTTGACATTGCTACACCACAATTTACGGAAGTTCGAAATTATCAGTCATTAGATAGAATGTTGCCTAATGACTAACATTAAATTAATTTCGTGACCTGACAGTTAGTAATTTTATTTGGCGCGCTTATCTAATGAGTTTTAATTAGCTCCAGTATGGATAAAATTTTATTTTGATAAAATCACTCAGTGTTATAGAGTAATATTTACTGATGTCACGTTTCGAGTAGAAATTATTGCTCATAATCATATCTAGGCACTCACACGACTTTCTTGCTTCATTTATATACATGAGTAAAAATTGATTAGACATTTGAATAAAATCAATATAATATAAAGTACATTCGGAAATAATATTCGTGTCATCAATAAAATACAATAGGATGGGAAATAAGATGTTGTTAGAATGTGAATTGAATACATTTTAACATTATTTATTATCCTCTGATTTGACTGGTAATAACACCCTTCCTTCGTAACGACAACCTTTTTCTTCACGTTAATCATTGCATCTATCTCTCGCAATACGTCTGCTGCAAAGATTGTTCGGTGAAACTGAGATACAACCAGAAATGTAAACGTCACGTTATCCTCTCCAATACTAACTCTGCAGTCTGACACTCCTGCGATTCTTAACACGTGGCCGACCCACTGTCTGCACTATCAACGAAAACGGCCTTACACTCTCACATACACTCTTATCTACGAGTGAGACTGCTGACCCTGTGTCGATGAAACACACCAACTCGCGGTCATTTATGCACAACTTTAAATACATCGCCCCCTTCCCAATCGCCCCTATTAACCTTAGTCGCAGAGAACAGAAAGAAGACACATTATACCTTTTAAAACTTTTCTTCTGTCGTCTCTTCGGGCAACGGTTTTTCCAATGGCCCAGTTTGCCTCAGGCGAAACACCGGTGTCTCCTCACGCTCATTCTCAGCGCGGCCACTTCACGCT